CTTATTAAATCAAAGATCATATGAATCCTCAGCGCAACATGACATTGATTCCTAAGCCCTAAATAAAGGAGGAGGAGACGGGTTCACTGCTTACAAAATGATCAGAAAAGCATGTGGCTTTAATTTTGGGTTCATAGGGTTAGGGTCTCTTCCAGTTTAAAAAGATAGTAGTCAGCTCTCTTCTGACTGGACGTAACTGCCTGGAGGCGTTGCCATGATGGCCACCAAGTGGATAGGCTTTCCTATAAGGTAGGGGTGCCCAGTTTCACCCACAAGGGCCAGTGTGGCTCCAGATATAATTCCAAAAAGCAGGAGCACACTTGATTTTACCTGTTAACCCCTTAAAATCCCAGGCTTATTACACACTAAGGCATATTATTCAGTAACTACAGGGACGTCAGTGCAAAATGATGGATCTATTCATAGGTTGTGATAAAGTTTTGGGCCTGTCGGTGGGCTCTGGCCACTTAAGGGGTTAATCAATCTCAGCCATTCAAACAACTGATCAGGTGTGCTCCTGCTTTGTTGGAATGAAAACCTGCAGCCACACCAGCCATTTGTGGAAAAGATTGGACACCCCTGCTATAAAGACTTTGTCCTAAATCAGAGCAGACTGGGACAGAGCAGTGGGAGGAGCTTGTGGAGCACGGATTTTGGGGAAGAAAAGCTTTGAAGATCACAAGTGACTTTGCCTTTGATCATAGACACAGTTTCCATTGAAACAATCCTCCAGTGGATGCAGAGAATAGAGAATAGCTCGTCATTATTCTGAAGAATTACACACTCCCATGTGGACACACTCACACACAAAAACATTCTGATATTCTAACATCCACATCCTTGCAATCATGAGAACTGAACAGACTCAGAAGCAAGCTGTCTTCTGCCCTAAAGGCACCTTCTGTGGAAAAAAAGCATCTTCTGACCAAATAAGCTACTTCCCGCAACACTGAAGTTCCCATCTTAACATGATAGCTCAGCAAAAAATTACACTTACACAGTCGTCCATGTGCTCCAAGTGTAGTCTATCAACTCAGACATGTTTGCCGCTTTAGTTTTGTACTGGACCCATAATGCTAATGTAGCTCAAGTACATCATACACTTGTCTGAACCTGTGCTATGTTGTTCAGTAATTACAAATAAACTTGCTTATGTAGTTTCTGACACTGTATGACTGTTATCTATAAAAAAGGACAAAAGTACGGACAGTATTCACGGTTCAAGACTACTACTGCTGCTGTTTTTAGCTAAGCAACATACTTAGTGCTATACTCTTAAAAAGGTGGTTCTTCAAGAGTTCTTTAGTAAAGACAATGGTCCTATTTAGAACCATGAGTTCTATATAGAACCATGAGGTCCATATATAACCATTTCATGCTTAAGGTTCTTTGCACTAGTCCAGGAGTCGACAACCCAAATGTTAGGAAGAGCCATTTTGTTTTTTCAACAAAAATCAAACCACCTTGGGAGCCACAACATTTTATGTCCATTTTACCATCTTGGCTGTAAATATGTTTCAGTATGTGCTGATGTTCTAGTATAGGCTAAAAATATGTTCATATAAACGAAAATGCAAACTTACTTTGCTCTGCTTTAATCTTTAGCTCAGCTACAGCTGCTTTTCTCACATCTCCAGCAGGAAACTTTTCCATAAAAGTGCAAAAGTTTCTTGTAAAATGTCTCTCAATGTTCGATTTTTTACTGAAGTCGCTTCTCATTTGCCAGATTCTTGTCCAAATTTTCCCGTTCCACCTTAAATAGTACCTGAGAGGCCAGAATGTAACTGCTGCACCATTTAAGGTGGAACGGGAAAATTCAAACAAGAAGCTGACTTCAGCCTCACAACCTTTTTGTAGTGTTTGACAGTTTCTTGTTCCAGATTAAACATATCAGGAAACCAACTGAGTGCTTATAAATGCAAATAAGTCCATTCGTCTCCAAATTATCAACATTCGTCTTAAATCTTTATCTGTGCCATTTTGTTAGCTACTAGCTAGGCGAGACTGTTGACTGTATTGCTATGTGACCAGCAGTCTGCACACCAATCTTCAGGGTCAAAAATGGGTGAATTAGCAGTTGTAGACTACATTAACTCCAGCGTATAATACTGTTTATTCCTAAGACTGTATTAGAATGATCAGTAGAGCTTTATTTTACAGCAGAGGAGGATTATTTTATTCTTACCTAAACATAAATAAGGTGCATGCAGCTCTGGAGTCACATGTTGCCGACCCCTGGCATAGTAAAATGGTTCATCAGATTGATGGAGAATGTGTTGTATATGGTTCTATATAGAACCTTCTTTAAAATGGTTCTCCATAGCACCAAAAAGGGTTCTTCTATTCTTACAAGTGTGACCTCTTAACAATAGAGGACCCTTTATGATGCTTTGATGCTAGAACCCATGGATCCAAATAGAACCATTGCATTCCTTTTACTGAAGAACCCTTGAAGAACTTTTTTGAGTGTGTACTTGAGACAATTCCCAGACACTGTTGAGACATGTTTACTGTCCGATGGGCAAAAGAATAGACATAATTCAGACTTCAAGATGGTTTGCTGCTGCTGTTTATAGCTATACAACATACTTTGTTTATTTCTGTAGATGACAGCAGTGGGGAACCATCGGGGCTTTGAAGATATTCAAAGAAGACTGAATAATTTCTGGGAACTAAAAAAAATAATTTAAAAAAATTTGTGTTCTGTAACCTTTAGTTCATTTGCATTTAGTAGAATCATCATTTAAACTCCAAGTATTGTAATAATGCCCTTATTTCATTGTTACATTTTAGTGGGAAACAAAATGGTTAGAATTGTTAAAGGCACAACAAAAATTTTACAATCAGAATTTTTTTCTCATAGTATCCAGGTACATACAGCCAGATAGCTCTTCCATTGGTTAGGCTTTCAGGAGCTGGACAGAAAGCCTTCGACCCCTTACACCCAAGTCTTAGATCCCATGTGTCAAACACAAGGCCCGCGGGCCAGATCAGACCGGTCATACGATCCTATCCTGTCCGTAAAGGTATTTTAATTTAGCCCGTATCACAATATGCTGCACTACAGTTCCCAGCATGTACTGCAACGTAATGTGCTTCGACTCTCCTTCCCCAACAACAGTCTATGGGACAGCGGTTACACCTCAATTCTACACAATTCTGCGCAATTCCACACCAGTCATATCACCAAAATGCATTTCAGCTACAGTTCAACCAACATAAACACTTAACATTAGCTTAGCAGCTCAGAAACTGAGCCCAAGCCTTAAAGAAGAAAAAATGCACAATCAGAATTTTTTCATACTATCCAGGTACATACAGAAATTACATCAGAAATTACGTACATTACATACATCTGTATTAGCTTATGTTAACATACTATTAGAAATCCAATAGGGGGGCCAGCAATAATATTATCATAAATGTGGGTTTTGATATTATGGCCTAGTTCTAACAGTCATGGTCCACCTTTGGATAATAGTATGTCAAACAGTAAGATGCTAATTAGCTTCATATAAGCTTCCATTACATCTTAGCTACGTTAGCCTCTTAAGAAACTAAAGAAGCAAACTGGCCACCAATCATGTCCTGGCTGGCCGAGTACATTTGAAGCAAACTGTGTAAATTAGATTTTTTCTCCAAAACATTGCTTTAAATTCAACAGCACGCACATCTTGGCGCACCTCAGGACGTGGCTCCAATTCTGCGTCACAGCAGGAGCAAGAGCACACGTGTCCAGGCCTACTGTCTGCATGCTAAGCCATAATATGTCCAAGCAAAGCTGCTACGGTGGTCTATAAACAACATGATGTTCTGTATTTAGAGCTTACATATTGCCTGTGCTGTGACCAATATTTTCTAGCCTAATGCAGGGTGCAGTTTTAGGCATGGCGCACTGAGCCCGCCAAGCCATCTGCTCTGAGTCACAACCGAGGGATGTGTCACTACACGCTGACTGGCCATGCACGTCTGTCTCTCTGACCGAGCGTCTGCCTCTCTCTACCTCTCTCTAGCCCTTCGACACAGATTGACTCCTCTAATCCTACTCATCAGTCTCACGGCAGCCAAGTTAGCAGGAGAGGGAGCAAGAGAAATATAAACAATGACACATCGTTGCTGTTATGCATTATTATATGATATTATATTATTATGCATTACTATTACACTGCTGTAGACAATATTAAAGCTGGACAAAATAGCTTATGAAGAGTTTCATTCCAAAATGCTGCGTCTGCATTTGTTACAGTTTTGGATATAAGAAGTTTTTGAAAAGATTAACAGCTGATGTATAATTGAAAACACATTTTTATGTGTTAAATGTGGTATTATTTGTAATACGGCACTGAAAGCCTTTCCCAGTCATGTATAGTGGTATGCAAAAGTTTGGGCACCCCTGATCAAATGACATGTTGATTTGTGAACATTTGTGAAAATAAGTGAACATGTCCTCTATAAAGAACACACTTCTGCACATTTTAATACACAATTATTGTTGTTTACTTGCTGAATTTAACACATTGGGGAAAAAATAAAGCATAAAATGTGGCTTGTGCAAAAGTTATGGCACATTTTATATTTTATGTTTCTTTTTTTATCCAATATATTAAACCCATCAAATAAATTGAAACATATTTTAGCCAGGGGTGCTAAATAATGCTTTTTGGAATGAAGCCCTTCATTACTGTGACTGCTACACATGTAATTGCAGTTGTGATGTTACAGCACCCTTGATTTGATTCTGAGCAAAAATATTTGTTTATTTCATGACACGAACGTCTTGCTTCAATAAAATACCTACAGAAATGTGTCTGAAACAACGCTAAAGGTTTACAGCACATTATTTAAAAGAAGTGATGTTAGAGGCTCATTTGCATATCGCAGCCTTCTGCAATATCAATATTGCCAAATCCAGTATCACGATAACGATTAACAAACGATATATTGTGAAGCCCTGGACTACATTATGTATCCCGTAAACTCCTATGGACCCCCACACGCACCTGCAGCGTCCATGACCTCCTCGATGACGGGCGGCAGACGCAGTCCGCAGTCCATGGTTGTCGTGGCGACAGGCTTAGGGGGGTTGTAGGGGGATCGGAGACGTCCACACAGGAAGGCAACGCAGCAGGAGCAGAGACAGAGCTGAGAAAGACACACACACACCTCAGGATCCACACACACCGTGCCGCAACGGTCGCTTCATCCTGACACACACGCAGACATACACACGCATATAAACACAGTGAGATAATGCAACCATGTCTAAGCTGGATCTATTTACAGGCACGACCATCTGTCTAAGCTACAAGTTAAAGATTATTTCTTTTTTTATGCTTTCTCCTGTCCCCCCCTTCTCTCTGTCTCTCTCTTTCATCCCTCGGACAATACAAAGGCAAAACAACGCACCACATCACTGACCACTTCACACATTCGCTCTCACTCATTCTCTCTCATGCAGGTTTGTTACACGCACCTTTAATGAGATCAGTCTGCAGCTCAGGACGCTGACAGCTAATACTCGCTGCTCATTACCTCTCTGCTGTTTTCCCCTGTATCCTTCTCTCCTCCCCTCTCCCTCTCTCTCTCTCTCTCTCTCTCTCTCTCTCGCGCTCGCTCGCTTTACTCCCTCCTGCTCTCTTGCTCCCTCTCCCTCTCCCTGCTTAATTTCTCTCCTCTCTTTGTGCTGTATTAACCTCTTCACCCTTGATTGTAAGATCCCTCCATGCATATATAATGGTTTTCCATATGCTATAGAAGTGCTGCACACATGGGAATTATCAATATTTAACATATAATGCTCTCATAATAAAATGTCACATCTCAGAACTGGCAACTTTATAGTAAGATTTTATCTCATGTAATTTTGGATCTGCTGCATTCATTTTGAACTGAATGTTCACAGAATGTATATATATATATATATATATATATATATATATATATATATATATAAAAAAATTCAACTAGTATACTTAGTATACCAAACTAGTTCAAACTGCAGTCCCACAGAGCATTAATTCAGAGAGTAATGAACTAAATATATTGTCGCTGTCACTCAAAAACCTTGTATCTCCATTTTTGTATTTTTTTACTTCTTACTTCATTTAAAAAGTCCGGTTATCTTAATGTTGTGCTAAACTTTCATAATTGACTGTTGTGTAACATCAAGAATTGTCACTACAGAAACACATCTTTTCTGCAATTAAGTAAACTTCTTTGTGTTTTAATACAAATATTATGATTTTATAATGGTACTGTGCAAAACTCTTAGGCGCCTAAGCACATTGTTTAAAACCATTTATCTTCACAATCATTGCATTTATGATCGTAAAACCACCGTAGATCATTAGAATAGATGCTAATAAACATAAATACTGTGAAAATGTTTTAAAGTACTTGATCTCTTGTAAAGTTAATTTGAAGAATAAAGTTTGGTTCTAGATTTCTCCTGGGTTCCACCATAATTCCATTATAAACACAACTGATTTTTATTAAATGAAGCATTGATTAGCCAGGCTAGGTATTGGATGATGAGTATAAATAATACCGGGCTTCCTTGAGGGCAGCCTAGTATGAATATAAATATTGTTTGTACTTATTGTAATAAATGAACACATTTATTGTAATAAATTGAACACATGAATGCTTAAAATAACAACAATAAAAAAACAAACAGCCTAGATAAATAGCTTTATGGTTCAAATTTTGTCAGGTGCCTAAAATTTTACACAGTATTGTACATATATATGTCTATATCGAACCTTGCATCTCCAAAATAATCCAAAAATATGACAAAAAATGAGGTTTCATTCAGACAGTGAAAATATGTAATATTGTTTATATACTACATACTATGTAAGTATTTTAACTTTTTAATATAGTAAAATATGTTTTTCTATATTTGTCCCATTTGTCTTGTGTAGAATTCTCTCAAAGCTCAAATTACTAAGCATACATTAGCCAAAAAGTGCTAATATGTGTCATACTACTACTACTACTAATAATAATAATAATAATAATAATAATATTAATCATATATGTATTTAGTGTCATTTGACATGAGACAGAATATGGTATTTATTCTTTATTCTTATGAATTTGTTTTTTCATAGTCAAGGCAAAACAGACTATTCTACTCTATTCTATCTATCTATCTATCTATCTGGCCCCACTTCACAGGTGCCTTTCTAAAAATACATTGCTTGCATGGCTCTGAGATGTTGCATAATTCAGCCAACTCACTGAAGCTCAAAAAAGGAACAAGGTTCACCTTCGTGCATCAGCGTCATTTTATGGGGTTGCCAAGCAACCAAGGTTTGCTGGATGGTGTCTGAAGAACGTGTGCAGCCAAAAACAGAAAAAAAAAACATATGATACGTACGATCATCTCTGCTGACTAAGGTGTGTTCTGTGTGCAAATGAAAATGTGTATATCAGGAAAAGGGCAGAGCAGCGTTCATATGAGAAGCAGCGTACGCTGTATATGAACAGGTGAACGGAAGCCTCACCAAAAACAGCACACAGTGGTGCACAAGATACCTTATACATTAGGCCACGGCCACTCAGCAGCAGAAGGAGATGTACTGCAGGCCAAAAAGTGTGAGAGAAAAAGTGAAAAAACTTTGCTTTTCAAAAGACAGCAAACAGAAATTCCACCGATTTTACAAAAATTCTGCATAATGGTGGTTAAGATGTAAACAAAGTTGTTCAGCGGGGTTTACATCTCAGAGACTGAATTATGCTGAAAACATTTTGTTCTATGTTAATATGTTCATTAATATAGAACAAAATGTTTTGGATAGTCTGCAGCAGACAGCGAACTGATTATTCATTAGATTTGTTTGTGGTGATTCTCCTGCAGCCTGAATCAGATCCACTCACGTTCAGATGCTTCCGAAGTCCTGAAGAACTGAAACAGGTGTGTTTTGTGACTAAGCAAAGACAGCTGATGTCAACAAAACTGTCAAGGCCTAGCTCCAGCATATCTTACTGACCTGTTGAAGCATTATAGCCAGTCCAGACTTACTGCAAACTCTTTGGATCACTTACGGCTCAGTAGGTGGAAGATCTTTCCTCATGTAGCTTCTAAACTCTGGATTCGAGAGAGAATATTAGGAATGCAAGCTCCATGTTTTGTTTTTTTTAACAGATTAAAATTTGCTTAGGCTAGCAGTATTACGGCTCATTTTGTCTTATTGTTTGTAACTGACCAGGTCATTTTATCTTTCTAGTGTTTTCCTTCTATTCTTCTGTCAAGCACTTTAAAGATTTTGTAACTAAAATAAAAAGTGCTTAATAAATAAAGATTTATAATAATTATTGATGACTGTCCCATATAATCCACTAGTGTGAGTGTATATCACGGCAAACCAACGGATTATTTTGGAAGAAACTTTGATTAGATGTCAATAAGCACGTGTTGGTTGCTGGCAAATTGATTTCATTCCGAAATGCATAACAGACCATTTTCAAAAATGTTCTTTTTTTCATGACATATGTTGTTAAGAGTGGGCATCACATATAAAAGAAATAAGCTCACCGGACAACAAATTAAACTGCTGTGACTGAAATGTACCTAATAGTGTGTAATACCTCCACAAGCATGAATAACAGCTGTGATTTGATTTGGCCTGGACTGGACAAGTTTCTGGATGCAGGTGAAATTAATGTTCAGCCACTCTTGCATCAAAGACCTGTGCAGTTTTGCCAGATTCCGTGGATGCCTTCCCTGGCGTCTTACTCACTGTTCCAGGTCGTCCCACAGATTTTCAAGAGGATTCAAATCTGGGGGTTTTGCAGGCCCAGATGTGTGAAAGCTCCTGAATCTTCACCATGCCAATCAGTCACATTTGCAGCCCTATGAACACGAGAATTGTCATCTTGGAATACAGTGATAGGAATGTTATGTTCCTCAGTAAGATGATGAGTAAAAGGGCAAAACCTGGTTGTCCAGCAGTTCAATGTTGGCACTGTGGATTAAATTTAGTGTCACCTCAACTAAAGGACCCATTTCCACATAATTAAAAGACCCCCAGAACATCACAGAGCTCCTCCAGCTTGAACCACACCTTGCACGCAGTCCTCATTGAAGGCATCCTGAGGTCTGCGATGAACACAACGCCCAGCATCATTCACATACAGGCAGAAATGAGATTCATCTGACCAGATAACACGTTTCCAGTCATGAACAGTCCAGTTTTTGTCTCTTTGCCCACTGTAACTGGGCAACTTTGTGAACAGAAGTGAGCAAAGGCCTCTTGAGTGCCACTCTGCTCCCTATGTTCATGGTATGCGGTTCCCTGCGGAGAGTTCTTTCAGAAATTGGTTGTGAAGAACCTGCGCTGACTTCTAGAAGCAATTCTTGCCTGGAAGCAAAACGATTTTTATTCACAAGCTGTGAAACACGCCGGCGGTCCCTGTCCATCAGCTTCGTCTTCTGGCTACATTTCTGATGAGAATTTCCTGTAGACTGGGATTTTTGCCTCTGCTGGTCAACCCGTTACTAAAGTTACCGCCACCTTAAACACGCAAGTTCTTTAGTAAAGAAAATTGTTCTATATAGAACCATGAACACTCAAAATAAAATAATAAAAGACTAATAAAAGACCTTTTTGAAAAGAGTTCTATATAGCACCAAAAAGGGGCTCTTCTATTGTTACAAAGTCAACTTGTAATAACAGAACAACCCTTTTTGGTGTTATATAGAACCCTTTTCAAAAAGGCTCTATATAGAACCATCTACAGCACATTCTCCATCAATCTGAAGAACGCTTTCACCATGTAAAGAACCACTTACTCATGCGAAGAGTTCTTGAGTGTTCATGGTTCTATATAGAACCATTTTCTTTAGTAAAAAACCTTTGAAGAACCATCATTTGTATTAGTTGTGTACTTTAACACATCTTGGCCTGTAATGTGGGACACAGCTGGACAGCAGCTAGTCCCCCCCTCTGCTCCTGCCTGAAAATATTCACACCCTCCCTGCCTCTGGCTCTCTCTGACAATGCGAAGGATGGATCAATGTTCCAGCTCAAAGCTGGAGGAAAGATAAGGGCTCTCATTTAAAAAGCAAATGGACATTATCACCTCTCTCTCCCTCTCTCCCTCTCCCTCACACACACACTGAGTGATGGCATTTAAATCCAAACACGGCCTTTTCGAGCACACAGTCAATATGCTCCAGTGAGATAAACAGCACTAATCTGCTTCCTGTTTCAAGCGGCTCCGATCACAAACACGCCACACAGTTTCCATCCAGGTGGAGCGGATTGGACAGGAAAAAGGGAAGCTGCTGCCAAACCGCCGCTGCTCTGGTGCTGCCCTGGACACAGCCAGTGTACTGGAAGCCCACCGTGACCCTGCTAAGCACAGCTGGCAGGAGTAGAACACCTCAAAACAAGAAACAGTGATGGTGGGAAAGAGTCCTTGTTGATGTAACAAAACAATGGAAAAAGTCATGGTGCTCTCCATAGTGATTCCTCTGTAACGGAAAAAGACCATATTTGATGTCACACATCAGCTTTGAGTGAAAATTGTAAAGTGAACAATGAACCATGCAAAAACAAATATTGAGACCTTTACACAATCAAAATATACACTCACTGTCCACTTTATTAGATACACCAACTCCTATCTACAGTCATTGTCCATTTTATCAGCTCCACTTACTATATAGGTGCACTTTGTAGTTCTACAGTTACAGACTGTAGTCCATCTGTCTCTCTGCATACTTTGTTAGCCTTTCTTTACCTATTCACCAATGGTCAGGACCCCCACAGGACCACCCCTGGCAAAGGTGTTATTTGGGTAGCGGATCATTCTCAGGAGTGACGCTGACATGGTAGTGACGTCATTTTGCTCCATATTTTCAAAGGGACGCAGGTCTGGACTTGCACCCACGCTCTTGATTATGCAGCTACGGTGTTGTCATGTTGATTCAAGAATGGACGTCCCTGAAAAGATGTCATCTATAAGACAGCACATGTTGCTCCAAAACGTTTACATATCTTTCAGTGTTAATGGCCTGGGGCACAAACACACCCCCATACTACGACAACCCTTGGCTTTTGAACTTCATGCTGGTAACAATCTGGATAGTACACAACGTCCATTATGTCCATAAATAATCTGAAAGGCTGACTCACCGGACCACAATACATGTCCCCACTGTGCATTAGTCCATTTCAGATTAGCTCAAGCGCACACAAGCCTGTGATTTGTGAATGCAGCTAATAAAGGATGCTCCTTTTATACCAAAGCATGATTGCATCACCCGTTTAAGATGTTTTCTTAACATTTTACAATGTTCCTAATCTTAATTTGCCCCTTTCAGCTTTTGTGGAACATGTTTAAGGCACCAATTTCAGAATGAGTGTATATTTATGAAAAAGAGTCCAGCTGATAAGATAAAACATTACATATCTTTATACTGGATTTGCAAATCACTGCTTTCAGTTTTTACCTTTCTGGAATTAAAGATAAAATTAAAAGATAAAAACACTGCTTTTCCTTCTGGGTTGTAATGCTGGAGCCAATCCCTGTGATCATAGGGCAGACAAATACAATCACACACACATTCACACCTAGGGGCAATTTAGCATGTCCAATTGGCCTGACTGCATGTCTTTGGACAGTGGGAGGAAAGCAGAGCACCCAGAGGAAACCCACACAGACCCAGGGAGAACATTCCCTGGTCACCCAGCCGGGTATCAAACCCAGGCCCTTCTTGCTGTGATGGTGACAGCACTATCTACTGCTCCATCGTGCCACCAACAATAAAATACAATTAAATATAATATATCCTACGACGCATACAGTCAAGAGCACTTGTAAATGCTCGAAAAGCACTTGAGCTGGAACGAGCTGTGTCCATATAGCGCTGTGGTTCAGCAGGATCTTTACAGAATTGTAGGGTGTAAAGAAGTAAGTCACACAGGTTTCACTCAGAAAAATCATGCTAATGCCACAGGGTCCATCTGCAGCAGACTATCTACAACATGACTATCACATCTGGAAAAAAATACAACCACGAATGAGGTATTATCATTTTATTATAACAAAGAAAAAGCTGTACATTTCCAATGTTGAGTTATTTATTTAGTCTGACTTGTAAATCTGGGTATATAAGTAAACAAAGGATTTACAAAAAAAGCTGGTACCACCATGTGATACCCATATAATCTTTTTCTCCATCACACATTCATTAGCATAATCCTTTGACAAAAGGAAATTAATCTCTTCAAATCTACTTCAGACCCATTCTCCTTACAGAAGAATAGCGTGCTCTTACCCAGTCAGTTCAGCTCAAGTAGATGAGTCCAGTGGAGGGATTTTAAGGACAGTTTGACCTCAAATGTACCGTGAATCCCTTTAAAAGGGCACTAGACACAAAGTCTTAGACGGCTTTGTTAATTTGATGGAGGAGGTGGAGGGGGAGGTGGTGGAAGGTGGAACATCATGCCTGGGTAAGGGCCTGGGGGCCAGGGACCCACACCCATGTGAGGAGGAGGCGGTCCAGGGTAGGGAGGGAAGCCTTGACCCTGGAAGGGAGGATGGAAGGGGCCAGGTGGAGGGAATGTGTAGTCTGGTTGGAAGTAGGGGTTACCTTGGGGCCGAAAGTGTGGATTTCCTTGGGGTTGAAAGTGGGGTCTGTTTTGTGGCTGAAAGTGGGGATTGGCATGGTAGTTGCTGTGGAAGCTACCGTGAGGATTGTGGTACCCAGGGTGGTCACGCTGAGGCTTCCGGTTCTGGGGTTTTCTTCTGGGGGGTTTCTGAGGTTTACAGGTAGGGTTATCATCATCTGTTGAAGAAAAAGATTCAGTTAGTAGCCCTTTCAGAGCAAACAAGATAGTAAACATGCTAATAAGCTCTATGATGGAGGAGTAACAGAAGTACCTGGTTAAAAGTGGAACATCATTTGCTAATAGCGGGATCAAGAGTAGTGTTTGGAAGAGGTGTGTTTAGTAGATTTGTTGCAAAGAACTGTGTCTGGCAACAGTTAGATAAAGAACATGCGAGGAGGTGGCGGTCCAGGGTAGGGAGGGAAGTGTTTGTTAAAGAACAGTGCTTGTTAATGTGATGAAATGTGGCATTTAGTAGAGACGTGGTACAACGCGTTTGGTAGACTAAGTAAACGGCTGTGGTTTTCTAATAACGAGAAAAAACAGCGTTTGGCAGAGGTGGTAAAGAGCTGTTCCTGTGTTTTATGCAGGTGTAGTAAATAGCAGTTCGATTGGTGGTAAAGACCCGTGCTTTGTAGAGGTGTGGTGGGGTAGTGTTTGGTAGGGAAGTGGCAAAGCAGTGTGCAGTAGAGATGTGGTAAACAACACTGATATAACATAGTGCAGTGTTCGTTTAATCTGTGGTGAAGAGCGGTCTTTGGTAGCTGCACTAAAGGTAGTACTTTCCAAACGGTGAGATAAACCAGTGTTTGGTAGAGGTGTGTTGAGCACCACTGTTTGGCAGATTTTGAAAACAATGGCGTTTATTTCATAGTAAAAAAGCACAGTATCCGTTAAGATTTGGTAAAGAGTAACGGTGACAGGTATAGGACACTGTTTGGAGGGGTGTGGCAAAGAGCAAGGTTTGGTAGAAATGCTGTAAAGAGCAGTGTTCGGTAGACAAAGTAAATGGCAATTACTTCCTAATTGTGAGCAAAAGAGTAGTGCTTGGTAGCGGTGTGGTGAATGTTAATGTTTTTACAATGGTGAGATGATGAGCCGTGTCTAGTAGAGATGTTATTAAGAGCAGTGTTAGCCAGAGGTGTGGTAAGCAGCAGAGTTTAGTGGACATAGTAATGGCAGTGTTTTCCCAATAGTGAGAAAAATTGTGTTTGGTAGTGGTCTGGTGAATGTTAGTGTTTTCATAATGGTGTGGTAAAGAGCAGTGTTTGGTAGAGGTGTGGTAAGCAGCAGGGTTTAGTAGAGAAAGTAAAGTCAGTGTTTTCCTAACGATGGGATAAAGAGCACTGTTTGGTATATACACACTGTGGTATAGTTTATAGTAGAGATGCGGTTAATAGCAGCGCTTAGTAATGGATACAGAGCAGTGTTTGGTATAGATGTGCTCTGGTGTAGGTTTGGTAAAGAGCAGTGTTTGATACAAGTGTAGCAAAGATCAAAGATTGTTAGGGGTGCGGTAAAGATCAGTGTTTGCTAAATGAAGTAAATGTCAGTGTTTTCCTAATGTGAGATAAAGAGCACTGTTTGGTGTAGATGTGGTGTGGTCTAGTTTTGGTAGAGGTGCAATAAATAGACATGTAGATGTGTGGTAAAGAACTGGACCACCGTTGCACCTTTGAGAGAACATTGACATTGTTTGTACCTTGATGAGTGAAAAATGTACCTGCACAGAACCTTTATTTCTAACAGTGTAGGGGTGTCGTAGAGCCGTGTTTAACAGAGGTGTAGTAGATTGTATTTGATGCTGTGACTGACCCGAATCAGACTCCTCCCGGTTCTGCTGCTGATGCTGCTGTCTCTTCTGCTCTTTCAGCTTTTGCTTGGCCAGCCTTTCCTGTTCATCATCACTGAAGTCTAGAGCCTGAACAAAGGCACACGGCCATTAACACAATAACTCCACACAAAAACACACCATTAGCTACCTGCAGTCTACTCACCAAAGAAGGGAACTCACTAATCCTCAATGATCACTATAATTTGGAGCTGTCCAACACAGACATTGCAATTTTTGTCCAAGCTTTATGTAAGATTGAGGCTCTATTCAGAATGTGTAAGTTAGATTACATAAATATCAATATATTCAATCCACAAACCTACATATAAACGAAACAGATAGACTGCAAGTCTAGAGCCGCTTCTTTAGAAATATTAAAAACTGCTACAGCTGTAGGAACTTGAACACCATCCACAAACAGCAATGAGCCTCAGGACAGGCCAAAGTATTAAAGAAACACACTCACCTCTGGGGGAGGCTCCTGGTCATTTTTCCAGGAAGCATCTGATCCTTTCATTCTACAGTCAAGGACAAAAATATTTAACATGAGCGATAAAATAAATACCTATATTTAGCATTTTATCTAATGTCTGAAACGTGCAAAACGTGCAAGCTGCTCCCTGAAATGATGGATTACTCACTTGTTGAGCTGCTCAGTGAATATGTAGTCGGTGAAGTCTTTGATTTTTGGGGCAAAGAAAACTGACTCCCCTATTCTGAGGTTCCTCTGCTCTATGTCTTCTTGAGAGTTGAACCTCAAGATGTAGTACGGCTGGCAAACTGGGCCAAAGACTTCAAACACCTATGAAAAAAAGAGACGTCAGTCTGCCGACTATAGAGCTAAAAAGACACACACAAAATATTTTATTACATCTAGTTCAGATAGAGAGAAATTCCAAGAAAGCAGGAATGTGAAATCTGCCTGCTGAGAACTCACCCTGCCGACAGCTGACCTGTCCTTGTTGAACAGGACACTGTCATCGTTCAGTGGTTTCGAATCTTTTTTTGACTCAATAATGACTAGAGAACAAAACATCAAACATAAGATGTGTTAATTAATCATATAATTTTAAAGATCATTCCTGACTCCTCAATATTCACAGTTGTGTAGAAAATTGGAATATGATGAAAATTCAATGTGCTAAATACATTTAAAGACAGCGATACTACCTGACTATCTAACAAAGCAGACAGGGGCCAATTAGCTGTAATCCTAATTAGCACATGCTTTCAAACAGAGGTGCCAATATGACATGTACTATACACTGACCAGCCACTTCGTTAAGTACACTCTTAAAACAGTTGGTTCTTCAGGGGTTCTTTAATGAAGAAAATAGTTCTATATAGAACAATGAACACTTTGCATGATTACAGGGTTCTTTGCATGGTGAAATGGTTCTTCAGACTGATGGAGAATGAGCTGTAGATGGACCAAAAAGTACTCTTCAACTGTTACGGTGCTGTATATAACCATAAGTAACATATTTTCCATCAATCTGAAGAACACTTTAATGATGCAAAGAACGGTTTAATCATGCGAAGCGTTCTTTTCATGGTTTCTATATAGAAACATTTTCTTTACTAAAGAACCCTTGAAGAACCATCATTTTTAATTATGACCACCTCCTTGTTTCTACACTCATTGTCCATTTTATGAGCTCCACTTACTATATAGGTGCACTTTGTAGTTCTACAGTTACAGACTGTAGTCCATCTGTTTCTCTGCACACTTTGTTAGCCCCTTTTTACCCTGTTCTTCAGTGGTCAGGACCCCCATGGACCCTCACAGAGCAGGTACTATTTGGGTGGTGGATCATTCTCAGCACTGCAGTAACACTGACGTGGTGGTGGTGTGTTAGTGTGTGTTGCGCTGGTCTGAGTGGATCAGACACAGCAGTGCTGCTGGAGTTTTTAAACACCTCAGTGTCACTACTGGACTGAGAATAGTCCACCAACCAAAAATATCCAGCCTACAGCGTCCTGTGGGCAGCGTCCTCTGACCACTGATGAAGGACTGATGACCAACACAAACTGTGCAGCAGCAGATGAGCTGTCGTCTCTGATTTTACATCTACAAGGAGAACCAACAAAGTAGGAAAGTCTAATAAAGTGGACAGTGAGTGGACACAGCGTTTAAAAATAAATTGCACTCCCCCACTTTCAAAGCTGGAACTTTTAATTTGTAATTTCTGGAGTTACTGTAAAAATACCTAGTTGGTCTACGACGCTTGAGATGACTCCAATGGGCTCCATTTCTGTGTCCTCAGGAAGGCTGATGGTCAGATTTTCCACTGCAGGGAGGTCCTGCACAAAAACAGGACAACCTTCAAATCAGCAATATGAACTGTTGAGATACAGAAATCATTTTTATTCATCCTAAAGCCAAGCTCATCCCAAGCCTCAGAAAATGAGATCCACATTTCAGTTCCACACACACACACACACACACACACACACACATATAAGTGAAGTATGTTTTTTCCTTCTCCTGTAAAGTTACCATTTTGGACATACAAGGTTTTCTTCTGACATCAGCGCGATACATACACACACACACACACACACACACACACACACACACACACACTATATATATATATACACACACACACACACCAAGGCACTTGGGAAGAGTGCTAGTGTCTCTTTTTTTCTTCCTAGCTCATTAGATTGTATATAGCTCTTTATATTATATATTTATGTTTTAAACTATGTCTCAAAATGCTAACTGTCATTTACAATGTGTCAAAGTCTTATGACAAACTGATCAATAGAAATGGTTACATAGCCTTAAACTGAACATAAAAACATTTGTCCTTCACCTGTGAAGTTACTTTTTTGGAGACATGAGGTTCTGTTCTGACAGTAACAAAGAGCTTTAAACCATAAAAATCAAATATGCTTGAAAATATCAGGAGGCCTCCAATCACTCCAGAGCTATAGCACATTGGAAGGCTTAAGACAGATTTTTTAAGATCATCTGTGCTGACAATCGATCGATTCTGTGATCAATTGAAATTGGCTTCCAATTTAAAAAATTGCCACAAAGGAAATTTTTCAAAAATCAAAGATTTGGTCCTGGAGATCTACAGACCTGGAGAGTTCCAGCCCTACACCCATTAACTAGCACTTGACTGAGCCAATCAAGGCATTTAAATGTTACAGCCAGGTGTGCTGTGATTAAACTCTCCAGGGTGGGAGATGACCAGGGCAGACTTGGGCATCCCTAGTGTAGAGTAAGCAAGGTAAGTTGTGCATTATTAACTCATTGAGATGTAAAAAAAAAAAATCATTCAGAGTCACTAAAGTGAAATGCTTTAATCTAAAGAACGCTGCTCAGCCAGAATTGTTCACAGTGGTGGTAATAGGAACCAGATGTCTGAAGGGTTTAACACCTCTAATAGCTACATGACAGCAAGTTATTAAATGAAAGGGTTTTTTTGGCTTTGTTTTGGCTTTTTTTTAAATCCTTTAATGGCAGATTGTTACATGCAGAGCTTTGTAAGGCAAAACAGTCATCAAGAAAACCACTATTGTACCAATCGCCAGCAAATAAAACTGCCATATTTGCACTGTAGACATCACAACCCCTGGGTCCTATCAGCACCACTGTAAAGAGTCAGTAAGATTCTCCACATTGCACCATTCCAAAGCAAGATAAAAGTATTTTGTTGACATCTCAATATTTGATTTATACAGAATTTGAATTATACAGAAACAGGAGGAGTGTGCACAGCACACCTACCGCTCTGCACCCCTTCAGTTAGGTTCCCTCACCTCAATCAGAAGTTCGTCTTGAGTCTTCACTGGCTGTGGTCTCTTCCCAGGAGCATGACCGTCTTCTTGATCCTCATCTTGGTCACACTCATTCATCACCAAGCTTATGACACCAGAGGAAGAGGAGGAGGAGGATGAGGAAGATGTGGATGAAGATGAGTCAGAGTCAGAATCACTGGGAAGAAAAAAAGAAGAACTGTATTTAATAAAAAAAAAAAATCCAATAGCATTTCAAATAAAAGCACATCATGAGTCAAATGTATCAGTACAATTAAAATTAAATACAACTTGTATTAGTGCATAAGTACTAATCTAGTTATTTTTACTTATTTTGTTTTACCTCATTTTACTGTTTTCTATTGTTTTTTGTTTTAAATGCCTTAATTTGTATCTTTTATTATTTTAAATTGTCCATATCCTACATTTTTATTGCATTTCATTTTTGCAATGTCCACTCACAACATTTGTGGCTATTTTCTATCCTCTTTTCATCCCTTATAATTAAACAATTTCCTGTTACTGTACTTTTAAGACTGATATAAAATAATTGAGCTCTGTTCTGATTGGCTGGCCTGTATCAGACCTCATTCAAAAGTATTCTAACCTGAAAAAGTAACACACTTTAGAACTTCAATATGAAAACTGCTAATAAGCTGAATATCACTGCTGTCGGAACAAAACCTCGTATTTCCAGTTTTTACGTTTTTCAGTTTTTGACATAATTTGAAAGTGCCTGTTGTCCTTTACATTATGTGTAAATTTTATGATGAACCGACCAACAGAAACGACCTAAAATTACTTGGAAAAAACTCTGGTTCCATTGACTTACATTAAAGGTAAAGTCTGTTTTTTCCTTCTCCTGTAAAGTTATCATTTTGAAGATACAAGGTTTTGTTCCGACAACAGCGACATGTGGATTTATGTAAATGAGTTGGTTCTCCTGACATCACAGAATCAATGCAAGCAACCAAGCAACACAGGCTGTTTTTGCAGCATAGTTTTATATACACAGACTGTATGGACCTGGTATTGGTACGTTTTAAAACTTTCACAATGTTTACATTTTACTTCAAACACCTTTATATTAACAAAGCAAGAGAAATTCTGTTTTCTGTGATATGGCCCTCTAATTATATCTCTCCACTTTATTTCACTTTCTTTTCTACACTTTTATTATTACAGAATTCTATTCACTGATTTTAACCCCTTGTGTTGGTGTAATATTGTAAATGAGCGCCACCCTCAATGTAGCTCAACTTCAGATAAAGCCTGATTGATCAGGCTCATTATGACCAGAAGCTTATGGATCAACATCAGTGGTTTGTGTTACTTTACCTATCTGAGAGATCTTCTGAGCTGTCCTCTCTATACTGCATGCTCAACAGGGCCAATGATCCTCCTCCACCATGCGTAGGACTCACTATGCCTTTATTCACCGCCTCACTCTGAGAGCCACAGCATGGATCTTCTTCCTGGTCAGATACTCTTATGTCCATGGGCTCACTCAGCTGCGGGTCAGCCTCTGCTGTACTCACATCAGACGCAACATCATGGCACTGTGGTGCACCTTTTCCTGCAGCACTGTTCATTTCAGACACCTCTGGTTTCTCATGTTCACCTGGCGGCTTGTGACTCACAGGCTCACTCAGCTGTGGGGCGGAATCTGCTGTAGCCAGGCCAGGTACATCACTGTGGCTCTGCAGCGCACACTGATCTATAATCATGTTGGTTTCTGAGGAGTCCTCTGGTTTCTCATGTTCTTTTGGTAGCTTGACTTCCATGGCATCTGTCAGCTGTGGGGCAGCCTCTCCTATAGACAGCTCAGGTAAACCAACATGGCTCTGCAGGGCACTTTTTTCAGCAGTGATGATGGTTTCTGGTAACTCTTCTGGTTTCTCATGTTCCTGCAGTAGCTTAACATCCAAAGCCTCACTCAGCTGTGGAGCAGCCTCTGCTGTACCCACAGCAGGTACAGTGTCATGGCTGTGAAGTGTGAGTTCTTCTGCAGGACTGGTACTTTCTTGTTGCTCTGGTTTCTCACGATCATCTGGAAGCTTGACACCCACTGGCTCATCTGCTTCAGGCTGGGATTTGAAAAACCAAAACATAGTGAATAAAAATGCAATGCAACGTGAAATAAAAATGGCAAGAACATTAGTAAAGCACTATCATCTGATAAGCTGAACCTAGCCATGATGGCATGCCTTGTAATGTTGCATATATGATAAATGTTTAATGTAATTTTATGACTGTCTTTGTCCTTTTGTTCCTGCCCAGTTAGTACAGTTAAAAAATTAGCCAAACTGACTAAACTGGCACATTCACAGAAATGTACACCGATCAGGCATAACATTATGACCACCTCCTTGTTTCTACGCTCATTGTCCATTTTATCAGCTCCACTTACTACATAGGTGCACTTTGTAGTTCTACTATTACAGACTGTAGTCCATCTGTTTCTCTGCATACTTTGTTAGCCCCCTTTTACCCTGTTCTTCAGTGGTCAGGACCCCCATGGACCCTCACAGAGCAGGTACTATTTGGGTGCTGGATCATTCTCAGCACTGCAGTAACACTGACGTGGTGGTGGTGTGTTAGTGTGTGTTGCGCTGGTCTGAGTGGATCAGACACAGCAGTGCTGCTGGAGTTTTTAAACACCTCAGTGTCACTACTGGACTGAGAATAGTCCACCAACCAAAAATATCCAGCCAAGTTACATTAGTTACATTTGTGAAGCTTTGTGAAATCGGTTATAAAATCTACACTCCTCTGAATTTTTTGTTCGAATTTTGATAAATAAATCTTGTATTGTTCAACATGAAGCCTATTTAATTTCATTTAGTTACTCACATATTCACATCTCAAATGATGTCAATTTGTTTTGGGACACCCTGCATTTTGTCCAACCCTGAACGGTGACAGTGGAACAAAAAGTTGAGCTGTTTATGTGCAAAGCAGGTGTTGATTGCGGATATTCAGGATTGCAGACTTTATAAAACGTGCAACTCTGTAAATCCTCTTAACCCTCCCACTGTTTCTCTATGGAGCTTCTACTGGAACCATGTGTTCAGAGTTCAGAGCAGCTTTGTTTTCTTTCCCAATGACCAGCTTAGCTGAAGGGGTGACGCACGTGGTTACGCACATTAACGCAACCTTTAATAAGAACTGTATATTCGAGTATATACATGTTTGCTCGAGCTGAAGTGCTAAATAAACAGCTCATGCCTCTTATACGCCCTGCTAAAGCACCCAGCGCGCTGTCTGAGAGTAACTACAGTAGGTTAACTACACTCAGCTGTAATGAGCTCTACAGAAAGAGCGGGGATCCCGAATCAGACTGGGAGAAGCTGAAAAGGTGTAAACTTTACCTGAGCGGATATGAAGTCGTCAGTCACTAAACTCTCCATGCTGCGTTATTAAAGCGCGGTTGTTTAAGACTTGATGCTGAGAAACTCAACCATGCTAGCTACACATGCGGCACACACACGCCTGCAACGCCTCATTTCCGCAGAGAGTATTTATTTCACAATAAAAGTCTCGTATTCCTGTCGTGGTTCGGGGTCTTTCACTCTCAGATCCCAGCCTTATGGAGGACCAGATTGGCCAAATTGAAAAATAAACCAAATTAAAAAAATAAATGTCTCAGTACATTAATCAATAAATTATATATATAGAAAAACTAAATAAAGCATATATTGCTTATTGTGATTGTAATTATACACAGATTTCCTTTTTCTGCAGTTTTATATTTCTCAATTTATTTATTTCTGTATTATTCATTTTGTTTTATCAATGCCATTTTTATATATTTTTCTGTATCTATATTTTTGACAATTGTTTGCTTTATTCATTGGTTCATGTATTAATTTATTTGTTTGTTTTTAATTAATTCATTTTTTTCCATTAATTCATGTTGTGCTGGTACAAGCGGATCAGACACGGCAGTGCTGCTGGAGTTTTTAAACACCTCAGTGTCACTGCTGGACTGAGAATAGTCCACCAACCAAAAATATCCAGCCAACAGCGCCCTGTGGGCAGCGTCCTGTGACCACTGATGAAGGACTAGAGGATGACCAACACAAACTGTGCAGTAGCAGATGAGCTATCGTCTCTGACTTTACATCTACAGGGGGGACTGACAAGGTAGGAGTGTCTAATAGAGTGGACAGTGAGTGGACACAGTGTTTAAAAACTCCAGCAGCACTGCTGTGTCTGATCCACTCAGACCAGCGCAACACACACCAACACACCACCACCACATCAGTGTTACTGCAGTGCTGAGAATGATCTATCACCCAAATACTACCTGCTCTGTGAGGGTCCATGAGGGTCCTGACCACTGAAGAACAGGGTAAAAGGGGGCTAACAAAGTATGCAGAGAAACAGATGGACTACAGTCTGTAACTGTAGAACTACAAAGTGCACCTATATAGTAAGTGGAGCTGATCAAATGGACAATGAGCATAGAAACAAGGAGGTGGTCATAATGTTATGCCTCCCAAAAGAGCTGACAGAAGAGTATTTAGGGAGCAGTTTACCTCTCCCCTGTTAGCAGAGCTGGGCAAAATACTCATAGTAGAAAGTAGTGATGGCTAAACACTGTCCTTAATGTATTCAGTTTTCCAGATAAACGGTTACAATAAATAAAAAAGTAACATATTCACAACAAATACAGAATACATTTAGAATACATATTGATAAGAGTCGTGAGAAAATTCTCTGTTTTTACTTAATTCACACTGTTTTTAGCTTGCAAATTTCATTTAAATCAATTAAATGAGGTTCTAAAAATTCTTGACTTCTTTTTTCTTCTCTCATCACCTGCTTTTGTCCACTGATCCTCCCACAATCCCTTAAACATGAGTCCAGTCCAACACCAATGCTAAATCACTCACAAACATGTCCACTACTAGGAAGATTATTTGTCTGGTCACTCCTTTAAAAGAGCTCAGTAACAGTAGCTCATCACTTTAGTTTGTCAGTCTACTCAGGCTTTAGTAGGATCCTCAGTGTTTGTAAAGAAGCTGTATGAGATCCTCTTTAGAACTCGACTATCAGACATGTTTGCTACACACCCTGCATTGATTTCAAAATAGATAACAAGTATTAATGGTGTTTCTTTTAAAGATTGTATGTGTTTTATGTAGTGCGTAAGAATTCTAAAAGTATTCTCCTAAAAACGTAAAACTATTCTGAATACTGCCTTAATTCCTGTATTCTGTGTTCCCACTACTTGTATTCCATTACATCCAAACCCTGTTAGTCAGCAAAGTTTAGGCAGGGTTACCTTTCCAGATTTATTAGCAAAGTTCTAATTTGTCATATAATTATAATCAGACATCTTGTGTCTCTGAGGAACAACTGAGGTTGTACCACATGATTTTTCAAGATTCCCTGTCATTCATAACATAAACCATATTGGTATTAAGAACACAGTGAATGCTGTACTTTTTATTTTGCTGGACTTTGCCGTGTCTTAATTTTTGGAACAGAGCACTGAAAAAAAATCTTGTGAGGACTCTTAGAATCAACTCACTTGGAACCGGAGTCGACTCCAGAATTTCATGATGCTCCACTGCCCTCTAGAGGCGACATACGGTTACAGCATTAAGTGGCGTCCAACTCGACCAGTAGAGGGCGCTTCGAGCATAATCCAGAAACGTGCATGTTCAGCAAGCTTTATTCTGCTAAACAATAAGACCAGCAAAACTGTGCCCCTTTATATGGTATTATTATTATTATTATTATTATTATTATTATTATTATTATTATATTAAATTCCGAGAAATCTTCTTTGTGATTGTGTGAGGTAAGTGATAACAAATTGCTTTTGCATACAAAACCGCTTATACAAAATCTGTAAAAGACATCTGTAAGAGATATTTTACATTCTTTATTAAAAAATCATGTTAATAGATTATTATCTCAGTACTTTAAAATGTGCTATAATAATTAGGCTCACCATTCATTCAAATGTACTGATATAGTTCAAATACCAATTTGCTTTGCATCATAAGTGATCTTGAAGTGTGTTATGACCTGAATTTAAAGCATGTGAATAAACAAGGAGTAGATACTGTATGGAAAGCAAGCAGTTCCAGCTTTAATGTGCTTATTTCTTGTGAATAGGTGTCCCCATCTGTCTATTAAGGGCCTTTACGGCTTCTTCCTGGACATGGCAGCGGATAGGCAGAGGCCTTCTTGCAGAGCTCTCCGGAGACGAGGCCTTCCTCAACCCACACAAACCAGCTCTGGGCACCAGACTCCTGATATCACTCTGAGGCCCAAACACACTGGTCTGGAAGGCTGACCAAGGCCTCGTTAGTGTTTTGTCCAGGTTCAACTTTGGCTTCTGAGGTGCTGGTGCACTCCCCGGGAGTCTAGAGACCAGTGCGGACCTGCTCGAGTCTCGGGGTAGCTGATGGAGTGTGGGAAATTCAGTGAATTGTCCACCTGTTGAACTAGCAGTTGATCCGGGAGCTGCTGTGAGCAGAGGCTTCTTATCTCCTGCAATATCTGTCCTTATAGCACTGAGGGAAAAGATAAGAAATGCCATTAAAGAGATTGTTTGGTGGGAAATGAAAACCAAGTTTGCTTCTTTAGCTTTATTCCTGGGGCTACAAGGCTAATGTAGCTAACAAGCTAAACCCTATGATTACTCTTGTGAAAACTGCATGCATAAATCATCACACCCTGGCCTCAAATCATGTTGAGCTGTTGAGTAATCTCAAATACACTTGCTTATGTGGATTCTGACACTGTATGGCTTTAACTTGTTTATAAAAATGGACTATCATACATCATGTAGCTAAACAGTAGTAGCATCCATTTTGAAACATAACATTGTCTATGCTTTTCTCCATCTGACACCAAACGTGTCTTTGCTGATCGACTCATGTATATTCATAGATTTTTTTTGCCAAACTATTCCGTTAAAGAGCCCTTATCACGGAGAACCATTCTGTCTACCTTTGTTAATAAAAGTATGTAAAAAACTGTTAAAGTGTCAAAACTACTGTTCACTCACTGGTCCATACAGTCCATAGATGGAAACTAAGCTGCAAAAACAGCTTTGAGTTCATTGTTTTTGTGATGTCACAAAAGCCAGCATATTTGATTGTGTAGCCGATAGCACAAACTTAGCTCCGTCCATTCACATAAAAGTTACAAAGAGTGTTTTAGCCTGGACCACTTTTTGAATTAGGCACAATGCAGGACAGCCAATCAGAACAGAGACAATTTACATATGTCAGTCTTAAAGACACAGTAACAAAACACAGTTAATTTTTAAGGGACAAAGACGATAGATAGATAGATAGATAGATAGATAGATAGATAGATAGATAGATAGATAGATAGATAAAATAAAATCAATGAAAAAATAATGATATGGGCCCTTTAAAGACACTGCATCTGAATATCAGTGCCATTATAACAACGTTGCGATGCACACAATGAAAAAGTTTACTGTTGTAAGTGTTTGGGGAGCGGGTCTCCAGGGTTCAGGAGATGACTGAGGTCAGCAGCTCTTTGCAGTAAACTCAGAGCCTCCCTTTTCTCCGCCTTACAGGTGCTCTGCATTAACACTTTACCTGGAGGACAAACAAGGTCAATAAAACAGAGCACTGGGTGAAACGTTCTTGACTCTAATATGGTGCATTGAAGGGCTGCACAATATATTGTTTGTTAATTTTTATTGCAATATTGGCATTTGCAGTTATATAATAGAAATCTATGACCTGCAAATTGCAGTCAATCGCAGTGGTTTTTACTGAACATCTTGACCAGAGTTCCATAAATGTTTCTGAGGACGTTGGGATGAATCAAGGCATCCAAGTAATCCATGAACCCAAGACATGTTTGTTATGAAGTTTGGCTCTTTACTTTTGGACCTATCGTCTCAGAAATAAAGGTAGTAAACTTTCACTGGGGTGGGGCCCTCAAGGGTACATCTCAGTACCTTTAGTCAGGGAACATAACTGTACCATAATCCATTGAAATTATATTTTCTAAGATGTACTGACTCCACACACCCCGTCTCGTCTCCAGACTTTTTATTTTATTGTTCTGTTTTAAAACATTTGGTTATGAAAAGGTGCAAATATGAACTTTTCACCTGGAAAAACTTATTTAAGGTACACAATTAGACCTTTAAACCATTGTGGCACCTTTGAGGGAACATTTACAGTGTTTGTACCTTGATGAACAAAAAATGTACGTGCACAGAACCTTTATTTCTAACAGTGTATGAGGCTAATGTAGCTAGAAGCAAACTAAAGCCTAAGCACTAATTAGCACTGCGTAAAAACCTTAATCATTACTAGCATCAAATCACAGTTTTTAAACATACCATTCACTGTCCAGTCCATACAGTTCATATATAGAAACCAAACTGCAAAAACAGCCTATTTTGATGTCATGCAAACCGTCAGATTCACATAAATCTGCCTATTCAGCCTACAGCAGATTAGCTCCACCCATTCACACTGAATGTTTCAGCCCCGCACTGCTTTTTGAATAGGCACAATACAGGACAGCCAATCAGAACAGAGATTATTTACATATTCAGCTCAAAGGCACAGAAATAAAAAACAGCCAGTTTAATTCTAAGATATAAAGAGAGGTTGAAAAAAATACTTAAAAATGAATTATAACTTTGGAAATTAAACTTTACAAAGTTATGAGTGGATCTCAAGGCAACAAAATAAAATGCCAGCCCTTTAAAAAAGAACTGGTTAAAGATTAATCTGATGTGGTTAAATATTGGCCTGTATTAATTTTTAGGTATGTGATGTACTTTTGTACATTCGTATAGATTTAAAGACAACACTATGTCACTGTAACCCACATACTCAAGTCTAGTTTAGATCATTTAAAGGGCCCATGTCCTAAATTATTATTGTATATTATTTTTCCTTCTGAGGTCCACGTCTCCTGTGGATGTGGTTTCATGTATCAAATACCTTTAGAGATCATTCTAACACGACCATTCTCCATAAATCTTTAGAATTAAACAGGATATTTTCATTTCTGTGCCTTTAAGACTCATATACATTAATAAGCTCTGTATTGGGTCTCGCTTGAAAAGCGGTCTGGGTTGAAACACACCTTATGCCTTCAGTGTAAATGGGAGGGGCTAAACTGCTGTAGGCCAAAAAGGTGGATATTTCCAAATGTGATGTTTGTGTGACATCACAAAAACAGTGAACTCAAAACAGGCTGTTTTTGCAGCTCATTTTCCTGATATGGATTGAGGAATGAAGAGTATGTTCTGAAACTGTTTACATACCACATCAAACTCTTCTATTAAAAAAACTGAGGAAATTCAGCTTCCAATAATATGAGCCCTTTAATACTGTATATTGCAAGGTGTATCACAATCACAACACCTTACAATATAACCAAACAAATAAAGTATGTTTCATACAGAAAGAGTGAAGGTCTTGCTTCAAACTTTAGCTGCTTTACCCCTAATAAGCTGGAGAGGCCTAATCCAGGAATACTGACATTCCAATGTCCAACAATTCAGTCTAGTTTAAAATGAGACCACTGCACTGAAACTGGGCCCCTTTTTCACTTACCAAGTTTGAGTAGAGTGTTAGTGAGGTCCTGCAGGGTGGGCTTGGACAGGAAGAAGGTCATCCCCCAGCGCTGAGTCACTGCCTGTCTTACATGGATGACATGACGATACAGTTCGGCAGCCCTCCTCTGAGTCCAGCTACGGGAGAGAGCAGGAAAGGTCACCTCACTCAGCACTCTACAAACAGCTGCACTGCAGTGTGATAAAGTAGAAGTAGAAGTTGATAGGAACAGTATTCCTGAAACCTTGCAGGTTCAAAGTTTGCTTCCACAAATATGCATCTATCCGGAGGCATGTAGACTGTAGTTTTGGGACACCTAGCTTTTCAAAATGTTTTAATAAGCAGATTTACTAAGCAGTTTTATTCTGAGGAAATGATATGCATACAAATATTTGTGACAACATTTGTGACAGTATTACATAAGCACAGTGCCACACCCACATTTCATCCCCTTGTTGTGATGTCGGCTCTCATCAGCACTCAAACCTTCCAGCTGTTTAAACCACCTTTGGTTTCTGTAGGTGCTTTTAAAGATTAATTCACCAATTCTTTTTACATTTTTGCATAATTTAATGGTTGAAATGGTTTGATATGAAGCCCACTGTTCACAGGAAACTTGACAGCTCAAATTGTCTTTACAGTGGTGCTGATAGTAACCAGGGATTGTGATGTCTACAATGCAAAATAGCCATTTTATTTACTTTTCAAAAACTGCGCTGGGTGGGTGGACTATATTGCCGTGCAATGTCAATCTCGCTATCATGAATATATTTTTTAAAATATGTTTTAGGCCAAAACTGCAATAAAACAATGTCTCAGGCATCAGACCATGATCGTTTCATGTCATAACTTTTAAGTATGCTGAAATTTTGAAAACTTGATGGAATTCCCCTTTATGCAAGTCAAACTATTATTTAGACAAAACCTTTGTATATTAAGGAAGACATTTTTGTGAAGTCTCTAGCAAAATAGACCCAAAGCATTAGCAAGTAGATGTTTTAACTTTTGTATATATTTTTATTTACATACCTGAAAAGTAACAGCGAAAAATTCAAAGATGATTCAATGATTTTGACAGTTAAATTGCTTGTTACAACGTGTTTTGATTGAACAGACAAACTGTTTTTCCTTTAATCCATCCGTCCTTCATGAGCTGTTAGCCGGACTCAGAAACACCTGTATAATCTGCTAGATGTAAACAAACTCATCCCTCACTCTTTGTCAGTGTGGATGCTGTCGGTCCAAATGTCGGCCAGCTGCTCCTCCACCGCTGCAACCAGGGGATGGTCACTGCCATACCAGCGCCTCCTACTGGCCAAAGCAGCCTGCAGACAGCTCTCAGCAGCACTCAGCTCACCAACACCCCGTCTGAACATACACAGCATTTAATGAATTACTAGTTTGTTATAAATGGTGTCATAAGAATAGAATTAATAAATACAATTAATTTCATTTTAAAGTAATAATAGTTGTTTACACCATTTGAAAATGGTAACCATGATTTTGTGAACACTTCCAAATAAGTGGACCAGTAGCAATGTGGGGAAAATAACAGAAAAGAAGCTACTGCTTAGGAGATACAAGGTTTTCTTACAAAAGCAACAAAATACAACTTTCATACAACAGTACATAAAGTGTAGATAATGTTACACTTGTGTAGATATTAATTATCGTTATTGGGCTGATATCAGCAGAAAAGGCTAGATGGGATATCAGAAGGAAAAAAAGAATAAATCCAGTAATAAATCTAGCCTGGAATAGCGCTCACTTACACAACGTGATGTGATGTTGGCTGTTTTTCTGCCTGTAGGGTTCATAGAGTGTTTGAGTGGTTTCAGTATGATAGCCTATTTTTAGATGATGATCTTAAGTGAAGTAAAGCTGACTTAGCTTAGTAACTGTTAAGTGACAAATGTCGGTATTGGTACCAGAAAAGAAACAGTGGTATCACACCATCATGATTATTTTAAAGCACAGAAGAAAAGTACATATAGAGTAATAAATCACTGCTGTCGGAAGAAAACCTCATATCTCCATTTTTGTCATTTTTCAGTTCATAATTTAAGACATAAATTTCAGACATAATTTAAAAATACCTGTTGTCCTTTACATTGTATGTAAATTTCATGATGAATGGACCAAAGGAAACAGCCCAAAATGACTTGGAAAAATATCTGGTTCCATTGACTTACATTAAAAGTGAAGTAGGTTTTTTTTATTTTCCTGTAAAGTTACCATTTTGGAGATACGAGGTTTTCTTCCGACAACAGCGAAATGCACTTTGATGGACCTCATAAAGATTTGTAATACTGTATATCATTGTTTGAATGTACTATAACAGTGTCATTATATGTAGTAGGGCTGGAGAACATGATTTACTAAAGTGCAGTATGTGAAACGCTGAACAAAAATCACTGTATTCACAGTTTTTTATAGGAATTTTTTACTGTGGCAATACTGGGTCATTTTTATCTGAATTATTTTATTCAAACGTATCAAAAAAAAGAATAAAATGAAGCATATTGTGTATCCAGGGGCACTTTAACCTGCTTGTGGGCCCTGGAGCTAAAGGGGGTCGTGGGCCTTATTGATGTAGGAGAACGCAGCACCCAAAAACTCAAAATCTTTGTTTTTAATGAAAGTGCACACACTGCCACCAACTAGCACTGCAATTTATCATCTTTCCATTACTGCACAAACCTAAACAAAGCTGAATTTACCTTCTTATCAGCCAAGTTCTTTTTTGTCTGATGTCTGCAACTGCTGCAACATTTAAGGTGGAACGGAAAATTTGAATAAGAAGCTGTCAAAAAGGATGCCAGTTTCAGCCTCATCCAACTTAAACCCATGACCATACCACTAAAAGCCATAGTCAGCTAAGGTTTGACATTTTCACCAAAACAGGTGAGGTCTATGACAAGCTGTAGTCTATCGTCTGATTCAGTGGCGTAGGCAGAAATAAATTATTGGGTAGGCCTGTGAAAAAGTGGGCCAACTTGAACAGAAATTTCCAAACGTGCAGATCCAAAGAAGATGACATGAGATAAAATCAGACACATGAGGTGTGCAAAAGACGAGGAAAAGCAAACTTAAAAACCTAAACCTAATGATTGTGTGTAAAACATTCTGCCACAGTGGGCATGAAAAATGTTATTGGTCCATTCTTGTTCTACCTTTGATGCACGGAAGCAACATTAACATTTTTTTTTTTGACATTTTTATAAAATAGCATGTTTCCAGCCTTTTGTAATGCTGCACAAGCGCAAGAAGACGCTCACAGATCTTAAAATGAAAATCTGTTTAATGAGAGAGGTGTCAGAATGAAACACAGTCTCAGGGAAAATCCAAAATCGAAATCCAGAAACCAAGCAAGAGTCAAAAACCGGAATAGACAAAAACATACAGGCAATCAGAGCAGAAGGGCAAATACAAAAGAGCAAAATCCAAAAACAGTCAAAGGGTTCAAAACACAAGTCAAGAAGTCAGAGAAAGATCGCTCGATAGTCCAGTGAAATGGACAAAGAGGAGAACAAACCAAGGACTATTTAAGCTCTGAGACAAATACACACAGGTGAATCGAATTAGAATTCGGGTGACTGAGAACGAGGCAGTTGCATGTGATTGGAGGAATGGATGACATCATCGGGACTGGAACTATGGGAAATGGAGTCCTGGAGCGTGCTAGGCAAGGGAGGAGAACCCGGAAGCGTGACACCTTTATAGTCAAAAAGCATTGTAAATACCAAATTTGCAGAACACTGATGATGACGGTAAAAAACAGCATTCTCAGTGTCCTCAGTTACATCATTTGACAAAAGCTGGAGCTTCAAAGCATAACAAGCACAACCGCTGATAACCAACTGAGCTTGAGGCGATGGCAGATAGCAACAGTTGCTGTGCAGTGATTGGAGGGCTGAGAAAAGAAGGCAGAGCTTGGTGGAGATCCAGTGGTGGACAGTAACGAAGTAAACGTAATTCATTACTGTACTTAAGTAGTTTTTTTGTGTATCTGCACTTTACCAAAGTATTTGCATTTTGGGCGAATTTTTACTTTCACTAATATTTTGATTGGTTATAATAAAGTGACAGCACTTTATTATAAAAAAAATGAAATAAATATTCTTTCCACGTTTGATTGGATAGGCCTGTTATCAATCTAGGTACGGGGAAAAAAAAACAACCAAACAGAGGCCCTGAATTACTCAGAGCCCCTGGGCATTAAATTGCCCCTGTGTGTGTCATGAAAATGTTTTGAAGTATTGCAATATTACATTTTTGCAATATTGTGCACGTCTAATATGCAGGCTCTACCTACTTCTGTGTATTGCCACTCACTTGTGAAGGCCCTGCAATAAAGTAACAGTTGCTCCAGCACACGGATGGACGGACATAAGGTCAGTGTTACCGATTTCCTTTAAAATTCCTGGAACTGAATACAAACGGCCTCCTCTCTCCAGCTCCAGCTGACACTGAAAACACAGCAACTGGCCTGGAAGAGAACAAACATTTAAACACAGAAGCCGCTCATTTTACACTTCCACAAAGTCTACACATAAAGACTGAGCATTAAAGGCACAAAGACTGGATAGCCATCGTCATATCACATCCTCTGTACATGCATGGTTGACTGTTCTTATGCAGAGCCTGATCTGCTACCTTTTATCATCCTGATGTCCTCCTCTCTGACAGAACTGGAAACTGTAAGGTAGTTTGCTGTCTCAAGGCCTTTGTTGCAATACATCTCTGCCTCCTCAAGCTGCTGCGTGTGGACATAGAACTTAGCCAGCATGTGCTGCACTTCAAGCAGTAATCTCCCACTGTCTCCATCCGCCTGGAGCGAAAAAATAAGAGGAAGAGATGGGAAAAGAACATCTATGAGGACTCATAAAAAGTGGCCGGTGTTGGACTTGTGCTGTTTGGATCCTTATATTTGCGCTTTGGGCAAGGAAAGTTTTTTCCTCTCAAAACCAAATTGAATATTTTGAATTCATTACTTTTGTCATGCCATAAAAACAAACACATTAACACGTAAATCTAACTAGTCAACCTACAGCAGTTTAGTCCCGCCCATTCATGCTGAAGTTATAAGGAGTGTTTCAGCCCCTAGTGCTAATATACAGGACAGCCAATCAGAACAGAGATAATTTACATATATGTCTTAGAGGCACAGTAACAAAATATCCTTGTTTAATTCTAAGAGATAAAGAGAGGTCAAGAGGACAAGTGGACCTCATAAATAAATAAAATGCAAAAAAAATATAGCTTATGGGCTCTTTAGGGATAGATTTGGCCTCTTAATTCGGTTGGGGAGCATCTTACCCTGCGGGCCACCTTTCCCCGTCTTACGCTTCTGTTCGGCAGGCTCACCTGTTGAAGAGCTGTCTGTAACAGTATGTTTTCTGCTTCTTTATTTTTGCCCAAACCGAGCAGAAAATCAAAGAAGAAGAGAGCCAACTCTCCCACAACGCCAATATCTGGCAGTCCCCAACCTGAGACCAAACAACGAGGAATGTTTCATCAGCAATAAATCACCGATAACATGATCTGTTTGTCTGTTATACTCTTCCTTAGCTGTAATGTTACCTGTATGGGTCTGCGCCTCAGTAATGAACGTTTCCTCTTCCCTCATGGGTGAAACTGGAACATCAAAAGACAATCCTGCTGAATCCAGAGAGACCAGCAAAGTAAAACAGTCTACCAGATGAGTTTGAATTGATAGCTGACCAAACAATGCATGGCTATCAATGAATAATAATAACACATTAACAAATGAGTAGTTCAGTGATAGGAGAGAAGGGAAAAGTTCAGCTCCTCACTGATGGGCTTTAGTTACATTTACCGCATCATATGCCTTCAAAGAGGGGGAATACAACAATTATTTATTATTGCTAATTCTTTGGTGATATGAAGCTGAAGTCAGATATTCACCAGCTTCTTGTTCGAATTTCCCTGTTCCACCTTAAATGATGCAGCAGTTACATTCTGGCACTTCAGGCATCAATATTGCTGGACTATTTAAGGTGGAATGGGAAAGTTAGCTCGCTAGCTACCAAGACATTAGCATGCTATTAGCGATTTTTTATGCCTGTTATGAAGAACCATAATACATTGAAGCGCCATTAAACTAAGATAATACAATGGTTATCGTATTTTTTGTAACGGAGAAAATTCTCACATTTGTGGGTTTCTTTGGTTGCTCACGCAGCCATCTTGCCAGTTCTTCTTTTTTTCTCATAACACTCCGTTTGGAGTGTGACTCTGAAAAACCTCCGTTTGGAGGGCCATGTAGCCCTAACACCTCGCCCTACACCTCTATCTACAAAAATTGGGACACCCTACCCCCAGACATGAACGCGCAAAACAGAGGGCTAAGGGCTAAGTGGTAGGGGCGAGGGGTGAAATGGGATTGGGCCTAACGTGTCACAAGAAACAAGTAAACAAGCTTATGTACACCAAAAAAGACTGGATAGCAAAAACCAGTAGTAGTTTGTCTTGAAGCCTGAATTTTGTCAATGTTTATATACCACAGTATGTCATACAGTGTCAGAAACTGCATGAGATTTGTGGTAAAGCTGTTCACTCAATGTCAATGTTAGCCTGGCAATTCCAGCGCAAAACTTAAAATGCAACCTTCAGACACCAAACGTGTCTTTGCTGATCATAGTCATTTTGGGTAAGGGGGAAATCGGAACACAAAGAACACATATCTGGGGTTTATTAAGGTCTTGTTCTTTGTTCAGTAAAGCCCAAATTAGACCCTTCTAAAGGATTATGTGAAACTATGTAAAAATCACTAATAATTGCTTTATTAGCTGTAGTGATGCATAATGAACACTTTGTTAAGACTTTATTATAAAATTATTGCGCAGACCTGTCGTCTAAATTCACATCCAGTTAGTGTAGAATTGGCAGCATTTCATTCCTACAGTTTATAGATACTGTGTGACTTTATTACATTAGAGCTAATAAGACCTGATTATGTCAGTGATACTTCATGATGTGTTTCATATTCTGCAGCAGAGTTTTCGTTAGCGCTAATTAGAGGCTACAAAAGTTTTAGTCAGTCAGTTTTCATTACATCTTCAATACCTATTTTGGTTGCCAAAACTATTTTCTTCAGCAATATGTCAGTATGTGTTCCGTACAGGTGTTCAAAGGCTAAAACTGCACTTTAGAAAATGGAACATATGTTTTACGTTTCAGGTTTTGATGCAATATTACCTCTCCAGTAAAAACTCAAACAAAGCAAAAAAATTCAATTTTTAATTTGGAATAAAATGCTGCCAATTATCAGAATAATGTTTTTCAGCATCAGAATCACCTTATTTCACCAAGTATGTTAGACACACAGGGAATTTGTCTTGGTAAGTCACACATGTATGACGTAACATACTGAATAGACACACAGGCAGGGATGGGGGAGTAGCTAAGTAGTGCGCTACTTGTTGTAGTTAACTACATTTTTTTGTAGCTAATAGCTGTAGCCGCTACAGTTTTATGAAATGAGGCTAATAGTTGTAACGCCTACAAATTTTTGTGTAGCTGTAGTGATAATTTTCGCTACAATTTCGTTACAGACTTCAGCCAGTCTGCGTAAAATATGAACCATAGAATGCGGTCATTAACTGGGCTGGTGGTGACTCTATAATCCTGACTGGGCCGCGGACAGTTCGAGCAAACGGGCAGCTGCTGATCACCCCTCACTAGCAGGCTTAACTCAGGGGTTGCAACGGAAATGTTCAGAAGAGCCATTTTGTTCTTTCAACAAAAATGAAACCACCTTGGGAGCCACAACATTTTATGTCCATTTTACTTTCTTGGCTGTAAATGTGTCCCAGTATGTGCTGTTGTCCTAGTACTGGCTAAAAATGAAATAAACAAAAACTCAGACTTACTTTGCTCAGCTGTAACTGCAGTGTTTAAGACTATTTATTGTGAAACCCGTGTTAGAGCTGTGTGTTATAATGATTTTACAGTAAAGGAGGATTATGTTATTTTCCCCAAAAATCTAGTTCTGCTGTGGAGCCGCAACAGCAACAGTGGAGAGATTATTCAGGCCTGATTCTCACCCCAAACAGAACCAGAGTCACTGATGAGAATTTTGAGGCTTAAGTGATACCAAAGTTTAACAAAGGACTCCGAATGTCTTGTCTATCTTGCTGAAATGTTTAAATTAGAGCAGTTTTATTTTAACAGTTGACAGTGCTTTGCACAAAGTGGTTTGGTTTGTTTATGGTTATTTTTGTTGATTTTTGTAAGGAAAAACCTGGAATGATTGTCTTTCCCTTTAGTTCTAATTTTTGTTGGATATCACGTCTTTGGTTGTGTAAGTTTGATTGTACTCTTGAACTTATTTTTTGGTGATCTTTTTGTATATTTGCAGCTTTTGAATTGTATGTTTCTTTCTGACACATGACTAAACGCAGTGTCTTGTTTACACTGTCAGTTGGGCTTGTTTGGTGTGTCAGAGGGAGATTCACAAAAATTCTGAGAATCGTGCTTTGAAAGTAGCTAAAAAGTAGCCACTACTTTTCAAAAAGTAGCTAAAAAGTAGCCACTACTTTTCAAAAAGTAGCTAAAAAGTAGCCACTACTTAACTCTGGAAAAGTAGCTAAATTGTAGCTAGCTATACATTTTGGGAATGTAGCTACAAATTAGCTGACTACAACTTTTTCAGTAACTATCCAAACCCTGCACACAGGCTATTAACAAAAATTACAAAAAAATATAAAAAAATAACAAAAAAGAGACAAACACAATAAAAATAGAATAATGTAAGAAATAACAATAAAGAGCCAAAGAGATGTGTGAATATCTGTACATTTGCACATATGAATATCTATACATATGCAGGTCTGAGTAGACATATAATAACTATTAAGTGGACAATATTACAGAATGATTTGAACATTTGTACAAAAAAAAAAAATTACAGCTGTACAAATAAGCATTATGTTACAGAGATTCATGTCTTAAAAGTGTATTATATATATGTGTGTTATATATTTAAGTGTATTATATACATATAAAGTGTTTTTTGTGCATTGTTACAGCTAATAATGCACTGCAAAAGACCTCCTTTAGGTATTAATACAGGTCATAATAAACAAAGTTTAAAGCAGAGTGAATAAACCATTCTGAAGAGTCTAATTCAGGGTTTAGTAAACAAAGAACAAGACACTAAAAAACTCCCAATATGTGTTTCTTAAAATAAAATGATCCCAGAAAATTGTATAGATTTTTCACTCGTTTATATCACACGCTGAAAGCACTCCAAGTCAACGAGCTTATGTGACATACATGATGTTCTCAGTGAACCACAGCATGTGACTCTGTTACCGTTCAGCTCAAGCAGTGTCTGTAGTGAAGAGATGGGGTCATATCCTCTCCGGCTCAACAGCGTCCAATAGCGAATAAGATCGAGCCTTAGCTGTGGGTACTGCCTCACACTGCTCGACAGGAAACCCAGGGCTCTATGGAAAATGAGCAGATACGTTATCTAACTACACTGATTAACATCAGTGCAGTCTGGTGTATAGTAACTCAGGCTTATCTGCCCTTATTTGTTCACCTATTGTGTGACAGTGGTAATACAGTGTTTAAAGCTCACTCTCTGTCCACTGTGTCTTATTTATCATGGCTGTTTGAAAAAAAAACATTTTTGTTTTTTTTACATAATGTGAAAATGCCAGCTTTGTCTAAATTTTACAACAAACAGACCAATAGAAACGGTCAAGAAATACTCAGCATGAAATCTTGTTACATTAGCTTACATTAAAAGTTTTTCTCTTCACTACAAAGTTACCCCTCTTGTCACTGGGGTGGGACCCTCAAGGCTACATCTCAGTACCTTTAGTCAGGGCACACAATTGTGCCATAATGCACTGAAATTATATTTTCTAAGCTGTATTGACTCCACACACCCCGTCTCGTCTCCAGGCTTTTATTTTATTGTTCTGTGTTAAAACATCAGGTTATTAAAAGTACAAACACATATTTTTCCACGAGTAAAAACATATTTAAGGTGCACAACTGGACCTTAAAACCACTGTTGTACCTTTGAGGGAACATTTACATTGTTTATACCTTGATGACCAAAAATGTACCAGCACGGAACCTTTATTTCTAACAGTGTAACTTACTCTGGGTGGGTGAGGACACTATGTAGCTCCCCGAAGGAGCCAGTTTGTTCCAGGTGCCAGGGCAGCTCCTCCAGCTTCCTCAACCAGCCACCAAGTTCCTTGCTGGGCCTTTGAAAGAACTCAGCTAGGATACGATGCAAGTAGCTCCGACTGTTCTGCTGGTCCACAACACCTGAGGATCAGAGAGTAATGCAGAAAATACCACTCCATAAAGTGATATTTGAGGGAAAAGTGTCATATCAATACAAACTAAATCATTAGCTGAACACTGATGTTACAGTGTTCATAAACATATAGCACTCGCAAAAGTCAGAAACCACCATTTATTTATTTAACAGTTATAATGTCAGTTATAACGGTTATTAAGTATAAGTTACTCATTTGTGTCAGGAAAAAAGCAGAAAACATATATTTAACAGAAGCCCCAACAAATATATAAATTATCACATGTTTCAGTATTTTATGCGCCCACTCTTTGCTTTTGGTTTGTTTCCTTTTCTCAGTGAGGCTTCTTAACAGCTACACATCCCTTCAGACCCATAGCTCTGGGTTGTCTTCTCACAGTGGAAGGATGGACAGAAACACCTGTGGATGTTTTCAGATCTGAAGCAGCTTGATTTTCTCTCAAAGATGAAAAATATGATGTGTTTATCTGGTGGAGACAGCTTTGGTGTCTACCAGGTCTTGAATACTTGTTAGGAGTCCCATTTTCACTGTAGTTTTAAATCATTCTTGAACTTGTTTTTTTACTTATTTTCTTACTTATGGCTTTTTTGACTGGAAATTAAATAAATGAAAAGGTCTTTGATTTGGCACAGTACTGTATTTCTAAGCCAATTTTCTATCTGTGATGCTATTTGACCTTAAAAGGATTCCATTAAAATTCCTTAAGAAATGACTGAATGAATCATGACATCTCAAAGTCACCTACTTGAATGAATTAGATTTATTTTTGGTTGAATTCAGAATAGATTGAACATGCGAATGTGGCTTTTTTCTTGTTTTTTTAATGTTTGATAATAGTCTGGGAATTTGATTTTGGCCAAAAATAGAGTCAAGTCAAGTCAAATTTATTTATATAGCGCCTTTTACAACAGATGTTGTCACAAAGCAGCTTTACAAAGAATCCGGGTCCACACCCCCAGTGAGCAAGCCTTGGCGACAGTGGCAAGGAAAAACTCCCTCAACAGGAGGAAGAAACCTTGAGAGGAACCAGACTCAAAAGGGGAACCTATCCTCCTCTGGTGGACACCGGATAACAGCACAGACACAAAACAGTATAAGTGGATAGTAGAGCACATACTTTTCTAATTCTAATATTTTCACTGTGGGTTTAAATGCATTGATGCATCATGATACACAGTGGACTGCCACTTACCCAGCAACAGCAGCTCCATGGTCTGGCTAATGGACTGATGGCTGAAACACAGGAGGCCATTTGGTTTCTCCTGGACCCATGGTCCAAAAGCAGAGCGTAATCGTGCCCACTCCAAAGTCTGGATCCTCAGAGGACCACAGTGACCCAAATCCTCCAACAGAGCCAGTACCTCATCCTCAGTTAGCCCAGATCGAGAGACGTGGATCAGGCAAAGCATGTCCCATACCCAGCCTCTCAGCTCCAGAGCAGGAGAAGAGGAAACTGCAGTTACCAGAGCAGTAGGACAGCAGAGGTCAGTTTTCAACAGTGTACCTTATGAGGTTGAGTCAGTTTTACAAAAATGGTGCCCTCAAGGTGGGCCGGAGGGGTCACAGCCTTTCTTCCAATCACTGGCCCCCAGTGGCCTCTCGGCAAATTCTCGCCTCCACATCCCCCTTCTTCCCACTTGCCGACCCCCTTTACACTTTCACTTTCACATTTGCCTTTAGGGGGAGAGCAGCTTGGCTATTGGCACAACAACTGCCCAACCTCTCCTACGCTGCAACACACCCCCTTTCCCCACTCACACTTTCATATTGTGAAACTATACCAGCACTTTGCCACCCCAGGGAAAATGTTCTGGAGACACCATTTTTTTGGCACCATGACTTACAGTCTCACAAATAAATGCATTTTCAATTAAGCTGTTGTCTTAATTAAGCCTAACTGGATCAAATGATGTAGTCCTTTTAAAGCAAATTCGGGCTATAAGATGGCTGCTACTACTATTTTAGCTGTTCAGTGTGTACAAGCTTCCTTTACTTGTTTAAGCAACAGTGCAAACCTAAAGAAGCAAACTTCATACACCAAACTGAGCTGGTCTGAGCTGGTCAACTATTTTTGGGGTAAAGAGGAGAGGCATAGCCATGGGTCCAACTAAGATTAATCACAGGCCTATCCAATCAAATGAGGAAAGAATATTCACTAAGCTGGATTTTTAATATGATGAATTTGATTTCTTTTCTGTCAATGCTGCCAGTCACTGAAATATGGCCAGTCAAAAGGACTATCACCGCATCATTTGTTAATGTACAGCGATAGTCCAATCGACCAGTCTAAATTCTCAGTCCTCCAATCACTGCTCAGTGGCCGTTGCTAGTCACCATTGCCTCAAGTCTTCAGTATTAGTGCACCTGTGTTGGTCAAAAGATGTATCTGTGAGATCTGTACAATGGGATCTCAGACTTATCACTTTAATGTCTAACCTGCAAAGCATCTGTGTGAAACAATCTCTTTGAGAAACATGAGTTTTGTACAGTAATAGAGTTAAGTCATACCTGGTCTGGGTGCTACAGTGTTTGTTTCAGGCCTCTTGGAACTTAATGTAGAGTCTTCAGCAGGTCTACTGTAATCTTTAACCCAGCGACGAATGACCTTCACCCACAACTCTGATACTGAATCCACCTCCATGTACTCCTCTATCAGCTCATTCTCCTCCTCTTTGTCCCTCTGCATCCCACATGTCCGCAGCTCACTGCCGAGAACAGCAAGGAAGACCGGAAGGCGACACAGCTTCCTACTCATGATTCTCTGCAGGAGTGAGGTGGGCAGCTCTTTACTGGGTAAAGCCAAGTGTCGGTGCAATACGCTACGTTGGATGCATGGGTCAGACACACCAGGCCAGATGAAGACCTGGACGTCTGACCTGCTGGAGAGGCTTTTGTAAGTGAGATCCGTAGTGGTGGTGGTGACTATCAGCTTACAAAGAGAAGGTAGAGCAACTGGCAACCATCTCAGTTCCTTCACCTAAAATATGTAAAAGTGTAAGTGTAAAATTGTATTAGCAATGGCAAATGAGGACGTTCTCCATTAACCCCTCAAATTCAGCAGACCTAATCTTGTACTTACATACATTCCATATCAGTTACGTATTAGTTACTAATAATACTAGTTACTCAGTAGCTACTTACATATCGTCACTGTCACTAACCTTGTATCTCCATTTTTGTTGTTTTTCATTTTTAACAATATTTAAAATCACCAGCTGCCCTTTACATTGTTTAAAAATTTCATTAAACATAGACCAATCGAAATGCTCCAAATTTACTTGGAATAAATATTTTCTCCATTAGCTTCTATTAAAATTCTCCTGTAAACTTACAGTTTTGTTCTGACAGTGACAATATACGTGATTACTGAATAATCCATAGTAGAGGATTAGTATCTTGCAGTTCTCACTTTGAGATTCAGGGATTAATACATTTCTACCTATGCCTTTTTTAACTTTGACACAAGATACAGAAGTCCAGTGTCAATTTAGGATCTAAAGTGAACACTGCAAAGCAGTGTAAATGCTCTACTGTACTATAGGGTACACTGCAGACCAGCTTAATGCAAATATAAATTTAACACTCATAATTCAGCTGTGTGGCATTAAGAAATAATAATTGTCATATATATGACACAGCATTTTCAGCCTCTTACACCAGAATGGAAGTTTCTTAGTTAGATGAGAACAAATATTGTTGGACAAATAAAGATGCATGAAAGGAAGTTTGAAGAATGAACAGGAAAATACTACCTCCTGTAGTGACGGGCCCAGAGTGTCTATGAGAAGGTCCAGTCCATCCAACAGGAGGACACAAGGTCCCAGTTGAGCTGCAGCAGTGAAGGCCTGTACCTCTGCAAGCAGAGGCCTGGGTTCAACACACCCTTCCAAACCATCTGCCCACTCTGGCAGATCACCTGCATATTTAGAAGACATTTTCTTTCAGATTTTATGTGTTTAATGAATGGTCAGTGTCCATTTTTATGCTTTATTTATTTATTTATTTATTTATTGTATACTGAAGGAAAAAAAGTTATCCAATACTAAATGGTCCTGGGTGAAAAGTAACCCCCCTCCCCCAAGTTAATCATTCAATTAACCAATTTTAGTTGACAATGGTGATCAGTTCAACTAGACACACCCAAGCTTGATAACTGCCAGCCCTGTTGAATCTAAACAACAGTTAAATAGAACTTTTCCAGCAGTGTTAAGTGGGCTAAAAGGTATCAACAAGCAGAATACTGTGCCATGATAAAAAATAATAAAAAAAAAAAAGTTATTTATCAGTCTGGAAAGGGTTATGAAGCCATTTCTAAGCCTGTGGATCTAACCACAGTGAAGTGCCTTACCTGCCAAAAGCCCAACAAGAACACAGCAATGATGTATCCAGGAAGTCACAAAAAAAAAGCCAGATGAACATTCTGCAGGCCTCACTCACCTCAGATTAGGTCAGTGTTAATGATTCACCCATCAGAAAGAGGCTGGGCAAAATGCTCTCCATGGGAGATTTGCAAGGCAAAATCTGCTGCTAACCAAGAGGAGCATAAAGGCTCATCTCGCATATGACAAAAAACATGACCCCATAGCTTTTTGGAATAATGTTCTGTGGACTGATGTGTCAAAAGTGGAAGTTTTTTGAAAAAAAAGGGGGTCCTGTTACATCTGCTGTAAATCTAACACAGCATTTCACAATAAGAACATAACCAACAGTCAAACATGGTGGTGGTAGTGTGATGGTGTGGGGACGCTCTGCTACTTTAGATCTAGGTAACTTGCCATTATTGACGGAACCATGAATTCTGCCGTCTGTGATCTGAAGCTCAAGCGCATTTATGTTATGCAGCATGACAATGAGCTGAAGCAAAATTGAGGTTTTGGAGAGGCCTAAGCAAAACCCTGACTTGAACCCCACTGAAGGTTGTGGCAGGACCCTAAATGAGCAGCTCATGTTTGAAAGCCCTCTGAAGTGGCTGAATTAAAGCAATTCTTCAAAAAATGAGTGGGTCAAAGTTATTAAGTTCAGGTGGCAATTACTTTTTAATGAGAGTGATATATTTATTGCAAAACTTTTTTCCTTTAATAAATGAAATGATCATTCAAAAACCATGAATTTGTGTTTCCTCATGTTCTCGCTGCCTAATATTTTGTATGAGGATCTGACAGCAGTTAGTGTGACAAATATGCAGAAATAGAGCAAATGAAAAAGGGGAAAATAATTTTTCACATCACTATAAATAAAATTAATGCGTTGTAGGCATTCTAATAATAATTACTGCATATTAGCCATTAGGCCACTTACCATAGAAGACTTTTCGAAGTTCAGCAGTGCACTGCCTTAGCATTGACCTGACGTCCTTGCTGGGTGTGCTGGTCCCACAGAAGTATGGGATAACTGGAACTCTGGGCTTTCTCTTCCTAAAGTTCTGGAGCCACCAAGCAGCCAGAGATGACTTTCCACAACCCCTCTCTCCACTGAGCAGCAGAATGGACTTCTCTGGTTCTCCTTTATCAGTGTTACTGAAAAGAGGGAGAGACTGTTTTTGTCTTATGTCTGACAGGCAAAGTTACAGTTACAAAACAATAGGAAGAAGAAAATATCGCTGTCATATCAAAACCTCATGACATAATACACTGACAAGGCATAACATTATGACCACCTCCTTGTTTCTACGCTCATTGTCCATTTTATCAGCTCCACTTACTATATAGGTGCACTTTGTAGTTCTACAGTTACAGACTGTAGTCCATCTGTTTCTCTGCATACTTTGTTAGCCCGCTTTTACCCTGTTCTTCAGTGGTCAGGACCCCCATGGACCTTTCACAGAGCAGGTACTATTTGGGTGGTGGATCATTCTCAGCACTGCAGTAACACTGACGTTGTGGTGGTGTGTTAGTGTGTGTTGCGCTGGTCTGAGTGGATCACACACAGCAGTGCTGCTGGAGTTTTTAAACACCTCAGTGTCACTGCTGGACTGAGAACCGTCCACCAACCAAAAATATCCAGCCAACAGTGTCCTGTGGGCAGCGTCCTCTGACCACTGATGAAGGACTAGAGGATGACCAACACAAACTGTGCAGCAGCAGATGAGCTATCGTCTCTGACTTTACACCTACAAGGGGAACTGACAAGGTAGGAGTGTCTAATAGAGTGGACAGTGAGTGGACACAGTGTTTAAAAACTCCAGCAGCACTGCTGTGTCTGATCCACTCATACCAGCATAACACACACTAACACACCTCCACCACATCAGTGTTACTGCAGTGCTGAGAATGATCCACCACTCAAATAGTACCTGCTCTGTGAGGGTCCATGGGGGTCCTGACCACTGAAGAACAGGGTAAAAGGGGGCTAACAAAATATGCAGAGAAACAGATGGACTACAGTCTGTAATAGTAGAACTACAAAGTGCACCTATATGGTAAGTGGAGCTGATAAAATGAGAGTTAGATGCTTAGATGTTAGATACATCACCTCACCTCATTAACGGAACCCCTGAATCATCTGAATGAGGTTGAAACTTTGTCTTTTGAGTTACAGGAAACACAAATGTGTTCAGTAATTTCAGAACCTCTGTGGTTTGCGTCGAGGGTACAAACGCATGACAGAGTGCTTGAATATGGCTTCGATGATGCCAAACCTCAACTGAAACCTGATAACCTGCAGAAAAGGAAATTAAAACATACCATGCAAAACCACTGTCCGGTCCAAACAAGCGCAAGTGTAAAAATAAATAAATAAATAAATTCAATATCTGCTGACATGCTAAGGAGTGTCAGAGTCATGTGTTGTTGATGGAAAAGGCCGAAGACCTGAGATGGAGCGCTGAGCTGGAACTTGGTGAACAAGATCTATGATGCCTTCCCAGTCTTTTCTCACCAGCTCCTCAAGTTCCTGCAAGTTCCTAAAGAATCTGTCCAACAGACGATTGATAAGGAAGGTTAGCATTATTTATTTGCATTACACCAACAGTCCCCTTCAGTTATTAGCACTGTTTGCATTTTCAAGTGATGTAGCATTCCATTAAGTGGCTTGGGCACACATGCAGTAGCCTCAGGCAAAGCTAGACGGAAAACAAACCAAGCAATTGCTTTCAGTCCCCAGCCGAAAGGGGCTCCCGGCAACAGACGTCAAGGTGATAATGGTGTTTAAAGTGTATTTACATGGGCTTAAAGAAATAGTTCACTGTGAAATTAAATTTGCACAATTTTCTCCTTATCCTAAACATAGTCAACTGGCCAAGAAATGTTTGTTGTCCAAAGTTTGCTTCTTCAGTTTTCCACTGCCACTAAGAGGCTAATAGAATAGAAGTCTACGGCACCGAAAAACAATTTGACTTACATCGACTTCCACTGCTTTTATAAAAGAAGAAGCAAACTTTAAACCACAAACAAGTGACTATGTTTGGGGTAAGGGGGAACATGTGCAAAGTTTATTTGACTATTCCTATAATTTATGCATCAATGACCTTGGCTTATGTTTCCGCCACAGTTTTGAAGGTTATGTGCTCTTATATGTGACTACTGAGCTGGTAATTACTAATTTAACCCTTGATTACAACAATACCAGCTGAACTTCTCGACTGAAACACAAAACACTATCATGCCTAACTAATAAATGCAGTTAAATGTAACCTTTGACCTGAGGGTAACGCACACACACATAGACAAAAACTTCAATATATTCGTTTAAACCTAATTTCAAGCATTTAAGACTAGACTAAGCGTATATTCAATGAGGTGTCCAAACTTTTGACTGGGCTCTGTGAGAATGCCAGCTGTGATTCTGAATCAGAGTTACTTTTCTTAAATTCTCTTTTACTCAGACCTGACAGGTAGGCAGGTGTTTATGATTCGACTCTTCAGGTCCCACAATCGCTGCCTCTCATACTCCCTATGACTGGAGAGGTCCATCTGAAACCGTGCCGTCCGGCTTTCACCTTCACCTCCAGGAGTGCAGTCTTTAAAATAGAAGAAGCAGCGCTTGGGGCCGCCCATGAACGCAGCCTGGGTGATCTCCAGCTCAACCGAGCTACATGCCCGATGCTTTCCTTCCATAACCCAAGGATAGCCCCCTCGGACAGCTCCGTGCAGATTCTGCTCCAACCCAGACAACAGAGGTAGTTCTCCTTCTGGTTGGCCCAATGAATAGGACACGCCCTCAGGGAGAAAACAGCCATAGTGTTGCCCAAGCAGACAGAGGAAGGACGAGGAAGAGTTGATTAGATCCAAGCTGATCTTTAACTGCTGATGATAGACAGTGGAGCCCGCTTGGTGTGGATGGAGGTTGTGACCTCTCTGCCTGTCTTCATTATCATCATTTTTTGACTGCTGGATATCTACAGGTCTGAAGCATGTGCCTCTGGCCTGGCAAAGTGAATCCAAATAAGGAAAAACATGTGCTTTCAGATAGGCCAGCTCCTGCTGGAGGTCACCAGGGACATAACAGAGGTATGGCTGCAGTGGAGATGCCAAGCGGGAGGCAGAGTGACAATCTGACGTCATGTATTTATCAGTTTGGAGATCTGCTCTTTGCATCAGTTTGAAATCAGGTTAATGCATTTGGCTCCCTGTGGAGATAAAAGATACAGTATGTATAAATAAACGGGGTTTGGTACAATACTTGGAAAAAGTAGTGATGGCTGAATACTGAATGCACTGTTGCAAATGTATTCAGTAATGTATTTCTTTACAATGCACAAAACATAATGTATTCAGAACACATTTAGAATATATTTAGAATGCATTTAGAGTACATATTGATAAGGCACCTGGGAAAAACTCTACGGTAATTTTTATTTAATTCGCACTGTTCTTTGCTGTTACTGGTTGGCAGTTTTGTCCATGTGCAACCTTGTTTCCAAAAAAGCTGAAAACATGTAAATGAAAACAGAATGCAATATTATGCAAATCATGTAAACCATATATTTACTTGAAAATAGTACAAAGACAACATATCAAATGTTGAAACTTAAAAAATGTATGTTTTTTTTAAAAATATATGGCCATTTTGAATTTGATGCCAGCAGCACATTTCAAAAAAGTTGGAACAGGGGCGTGTCAAGTCAAGTCAAGTCGAGTCAGGCTTTATTGTCATTTCAGCTCTATACAAGTACACAGTGAAACGAAACAACATTCCTCCAGGACCAACAAAGAAACACAAGTGCGAGAAAATACAATATACACAGTGCAGACAATACAGTACAATAAATAAATATGAAAGACTTCCAATAAATACAAAACAGAACGCAGGCAGTACACAGTACTGAGAGTATGTGGAGCTGTGTTAGGAGAATGTAACATACTATGACATATTAACAGCTTAGCAGATAGCTTAGCATATATGAGCATAGCAGTCACTGAGGTAGCAACCAGAACAGCAATGGAATACAGTATTTGGTTGATACAGTAATTCTAGCAGCTAACATTGTTAAAGTGAAGTAAAATGTGCAAAAATGCAAGTATTTAGATCTACAGTCATATCAAATGAGGCATTTCAGTGAAATGCAGTAATTAAATTTAAATACAGTAATTAAATACAGTAAAAAATGCAGTTATTAAATTTAAATACAGTGTTCCAGACATAATTTGGAATTGCAAGAAGTGGGTAGTGAAGTTAGTCCCATATTGTTATGTATATGTGTGTGTGGGTCCATGTTTACCACTGTGTTGCATTACTTTTTCTTTTAACAACACTCTGTAAGCGTTCGGGAACTGAGGAGACCGACTGCTCTAGTTTTGAAAGTGAAATGTTTTCCCATTCTGATATAGGATTTCAGCTGATCAGCAGTTCGGCACCGCCTTTGCTGTATTTTTATATAATGGATGTCAGGTCTAGACTGCAGGCAGACCAGTTCAGCTATGCTGTTGTAACACATGCAGAATGTGATTTGGCATTATCTTGCTGAAAAAGACGTTGTCCAGATGGCAGCTTATGTTGCAAAAACCTGAATATATTGTTCAGCATTAATTGTGCCTTCACAGATGTGCAAGTTACCCATGCCATGTGTACTAATCCACCCCCTTACCATCAGAGATGCTGGCTTTTTAACTGTGTGCTGATAACAAGCTGAGTGCTCTACAGCCTGGAGGATACAGTGTCCATGATTTCTAAAAAGAATTTTAAATTTTGATTCATTTGGCCACAGGACACTTTGCCACTTTACCTCAGTCCATCTTAAAGGAGCTCAGGCCCACAGAAGGCGGCAGTGTTTCTGGTCCCTATTTATAAATGGTTTCTTCTTTGCATGGTGGAAGTTTAACTTGCATTTGTGGATGCAGTGATGAACTGTGTTCACAGAGCCCATGCAGTGATTTCCAGTAGAGAATCATGTCTGTTTTTAATGCAGTGCTGCTTGAGGGCCCAAAAATCATGGCTAGCCAATATTGATTTTCAGCCTTGTCCCTTGCACACAGAGATTTGTCTGGTTTCTCTCAATCTTTTAATGATAATATGTACCATAGATGATAGAATCCCTAAATTCTTTTTATTTTACGTTAAGAAATATTATTCTTGAATTGCTTCACTATTTGCCCATGCTATAGTGGTGAACCCCCCTCCCCATCTTTACTTCTCAAAGACTCTTTTTATACCCAATTATTTTACTAACCTGTTGCCAATTAACCACTAGTTGTTTTTTTAAGCATTACACAACTTTAGTGTTTCGTTGCCCCGTTCCAACTTTTTTGAAAATTGTTGCTGACATCAAATTCAAAATAAGCATACATTTTTCAAAAAACTATAACATTTCTCAGTTTCAACATTTCATATTTGTCTTTGTTTTATTCTCACTTGCATGTAGAGTTTAAATGATTTGCACATCATTGCATTCTGTTTTTAGCTAGACGTTTGCGCAGTATCCCAGTCTTTTTAGAAATGGGGTTGTAATTCTTCTGACAATATGTTTCTTAAAAATGTAATTATTCAAATGAATACAATTTTGACTCTTATTGCCTGCTTCAGTCCACTGCTGCTCCCATAACCCCACTGCCCTTTTATGACATAAGCCAAGAACTTACCATACCCCAATAACAAACTCTTGCAAACTTGACTATAAAGTGAGTAGGTGTCAGATTTTTATTTAATGTCATGTATGTAACCTGCCATGGATCACATACACCAGTCGAGTACAATACCAAAGCTAAGCTTATCACTCGTGGATGTCCACAACTGAGGAGTCTGTGCAGTGCAGTCATCCCTCAAAATAGATAACTGGCTGGTCACAGTGATTTATCAGTGTACTCAGGCTTTAGAAGGTATTTTCGATAAATATATATATATATATATATATATATATATATATATATATATATATGTATGTATGTATGTAAATATATATATATATCCATATATGTGTGTGTGTATTCTAAATACACATCCCCAATACTTGTACTCTGTTACATCCCAATCATGTAAATAACTTGCATAATGAATAAAAATTACCAGAGTCGTTTCATATAAATAGGTCAGCTTGGAAAACTCCTGTCTTGTCCGGACACTGAAAATAATCCATGCTCTCTGCCAAATATATCTCCTGATTGTGGAACAAAGTGTAGCTCTTACTGTAATAATAATAACTCAGCCTGTGCAAATTCTCAAAGAGGCTCATGGCAACCGCTGGTTGTTAATGTAAACGCACGACTAACCCAGCCCAGGCCGAGAACATGAAGCTGATCTCAGATCAGATGCTCTAATTAGCGCCACCCCTGAGCAAATTCACGAAAGCTGACTCCAGATCAGCGGTGAACACGGCATTAAAGTCCCGAAGCAGCGCTTGCCCGACACCCCACTGAACCAATCGAGGGTGGCCACGATTTGGCCATGTGAAATCGGACATGTAAGGCAACGATTGGTCGCAGCTTGCCGCGGATCGTTCTGTGATTGGCGGAGTGTTGTGCGTGGGGAGCTGTGATTGGTCGGCGTCAGCTGCCCTCCTCCTCCAGACCAAAGCGTTCATAAAGCCGCCTTCTCCTTTTCTGCCTTCGCAATTCAGGAGTTCGCCCGGCGGCAGCGGTGTGTGTAAGACTGGTCCGAGGAGCTCGTACCTACTGTGTGCTGTCCAATAAACCGTTTAGCCTCCAGGATGAAGCGGTTATGGATAATAGGGCTCGTCTGTGCCCTTCTTGTATTCAGTAAGTATGTTTTTATGTTAATGAACCTGTAAGTAGCGCGTTAATAGCGTTTTCCCCCTGCGTGGTTGAACTTGACTTTCTATTCGCCTGTTTCTTGTTCGACTTCTCACGTTCCACCTTAAATGTTGGAGCAGTTACATTCTGGCGAAGGTAACCGCTGCACCATTTAAGGTGGAACGGGGAAATTTGAACAAGAAGCTTCAGCTTCGGTTTTTTGTCCTCGCACGTCTTGAACTTGACTAAGCTTAGTCCTGCTTCAGCGTTAGCTGCAGGTATAACGCTATACGGCTGTTTTAATGCTTTATAACTACAAAAGCCACACTGACTTGGCTTTTAATAGTGAGGTTATCTCTGCAAACCTCTAAAGTTGTTAAAAAATGGGTGGCTTTAGCTGTGCAGCTTTGAGGAAATGAGAGGTGCAGAATGGACAGACCTGCATGTGCTTCTGGAAGTTTCCTCAGAGAAGCTGGCAAGCTAGCTAGAGGTAACGTTAGCATCCAAAGCCTTGATAATTTTTAAGGAAAATGTAAGAAATCTCTAAAATACCTTTTAAACTGTCCAGCTGCAGTCGTATATAGGTAACGTTATGTTAGCTTACGTTAGCACTTTGTTGGCTAGCTATTTAGCCAGCTAGCTAACCTAGCTAACTTTTTATGTCTAGAGAACCGTAAGGAGACAATCAGCTTAGCTAGCGCTAGTTAGCTACACACTTAAAAAAACAAGGTTCTTTAGTGGTTCTGTTTACAACCATATCATGCCCAAATGGTTCTCTGCATGGTGAAATGGTTCTTCAGATTGATGGAGAATGTGTTGTATATGGTTCTGTATAGAAAAGGGTTTTCTTCACAGAACCATATTCAACACATTCTTCTATCTGAAGAACTATTTCACCATGCAGAGAACCATTTAAGCATGGAGTGGTTCTATAAAGAACTCATGGATCTATACAGAACCGTTGTTTTACTAAACAGTTCTTGAAGAACCATCTTTTTAAACTGTCTACATTAGCTATATTAGTCTCCTCCAGAGATGTGAGAATTTCTCAGTTTATGTGTAGGTTATCTAAATAGGTGCTTCTAGACCTCTTCACCTTCTTTGCTGGCTTTAAGACACCCCAAGGTTTTCACTTTCATTTCCAGGGTATACAAAGCAGATTTGAAGCAAGTGGATCCAACCAGAGCCACACTTATGGCTTTGCATTAAGTATACTGACTCATGTTGAGGCTCTGAAATGTCGAAACTTTTGAGGGTTTTTAAAAGCTTTCATTATCCCACTCACAGGTTTGATTTTAGTACACAGAGCTGTGTTAACTACATGATAAAGCACGTTTGGCCTTCTGTCTGGAGCCTTAAGTGTTCCCCAATGACCAGCACATGCTTGGCACAGTGCCTTTGACCTCCAAAGTGGTTCATGGTCCTGAAACATTTTGATTAATTTGTTGGCTCCTTCTTGTTTGGTCACAGCATCTGTTAAGGCGGACGAAGATGTTGACGTTGATGGCACGGTTGAGGATGACCTGGGCAAGAGCAGAGACGGATCCCGGACAGATGATGAAGTTGTTCAGAGGTTTGTTCCTTGTATTTGTAATTTGACTAGTGATAACATGTCAGTTGAAATGAAAGTTAAAGAAACAGTGTTCCTTTAAGCCGTTAAGTACTCTAAACTTATGTTTCCAAAATAAAAAAAAAAATACTTTTGTGCTACAAGGAGGGCCTTTAAGATAAAACATTGGCACCTGCATTTTTATTTAAAATGCATTAAAATATTATATTTTACCCTTAGGATGACTTGATTTAGTCTTCCTGCTCAGGTTCATCACTCGGGGCATATACAGTTCCCCTGTTTGCATCTATATGTTGGACAAGTTGCCTGATGATGCATATTTGATAATTCATCTCATGATTCAATTCTGTGTGATTCTTTAGGGAGGAAGAGGCTATTCAGCTAGATGGACTGAATGCAGCACAAATTAAGGAAATCCGGGAAAAATCGGAAAAACATGCCTTCCAGGCGGAAGTGAACAGAATGATGAAGCTGATCATCAACTCTCTGTATAAGAACAAGGAGGTGAGACAAAGCTACATCAGCAAACCTGCTTGTCTTTCTTGTTGAGCCTGTATTTTAGCACTGAAAAAGACATTAAGGAGGTTTGAGCGTCATTACTTGTCATTACTTACTCTTTATTTATTTATTTTTTTTCCCCAAATCTCCTGTGTGTCCCTCTTCTTCCTAAAGATCTTCTTGAGGGAACTGATCTCTAATGCTTCTGATGCCCTGGACAAGATCCGGTTGCTGTCCCTGACCAACGAAGATGCACTTGCTGGAAATGAAGAGTTAACTGTCAAAATCAAGGTTTGTCACCCTTGTTTAAAAGTAGTGTACCCATAATGCAGTTCTGATGACTGCTCTAATCTGCCATTGAGTTGTTGTCAGGACTGAAACCTGAAAATGAGAGGGTGGAATCTGGCATTACATTTGCATTGCAAATGGTTCATGTGTTTGTGGCTAAGACCTTTGTACTGTACTTTAGTGTATTTAAATAGATATAAAACGGGTGTATTTGTTTTGTGTGTATTCTCTTACATGAATTGCCTTGAATGAAACAGACTTTCTAAGTCAAGGGCTCCTTTGGTTGAACTAAGAAATTGGTAATGTTAGCAATTGTTACATGAAATAAAGCGTACATAATTTGTTTGCCATACACATCAGGTTATTACTGACATGAAATCCTTTTCTAGTTCCTCAATAAGATGCACAGGACTGAACTAATGCTTTACTCTGTCTTGCAGGCGGACAAGGAGAAGAATATGCTTCACATCACCGATACTGGCATTGGCATGACCAAAGAGGAGCTGGTAAAGAACCTGGGAACCATTGCCAAGTCGGGCACCAGCGAGTTCCTCAACAAGATGACGGAGATGCAGGCAGAGGGCCAGTCCACCTCTGAGCTGATTGGCCAGTTTGGTGTGGGCTTCTACTCTGCTTTCCTGGTTGCCGACAGGGTCATCGTCACATCTAAGCATAACAATGGCACACAGCACATCTGGGAGTCTGACTCAAATGAGTTTTCAGTTATCGAGGACCCTCGTGGCGACACTCTGGGCAGAGGAACCACCATCACGTAAGTGTTGATGTGTTTGGAAATGACCGACAGATTAGTAACCTGAATACAGTTAACGAGAGTTGAAATTAAAGCTGTCATTGTCCTTTAACTTTTTTTGATTAGCCTTGTCTTGAAAGAAGAAGCATCGGACTATCTTGAGCTGGAGACCATCAAGAACCTTGTGAGGAAGTACTCTCAGTTCATCAACTTCCCCATCTACGTGTGGAGCAGCAAGGTCAGACATGCCATAGCAAAGGCAAATAAGATTAGCTAAAAAAAAATTAGTAAAATCCTTAGGTTCAGTAAACTCACAGCTCCTATTCTTTATCAGACTGAGACAGTTGAGGAGCCCATAGATGAGGAAGAGGCTGAGCCAGAGGCGGAGAAGGATACTACTGAGGATGAAGCTGAGGTGGAGGAAGAGGATGAAGAGAAGGACAAACCCAAGACCAAGAAGGTAAAAACAGCTGCTTCACAGGTGTATGTTGGCATCTGAATGCTAGTGGTCCAGGCGTTAGTTTCGAAATGTTTATAGACTAAATGTGCTTTTATTGTCTTTAGGTGGAGAAGACTGTGTGGGACTGGGAGCTGATGAATGACATCAAGCCCATCTGGCAGAGGCCTGCTAAAGAAGTAGAAGAGGATGAGTACAAAGCATTCTACAAGACCTTTTCAAGGGTGAGTCTTACATGACCATAACATTTAACGTGCACCCAAGAATTACACAGATCCCGCCATGTCTTTGAAATCATCTGATTTGTGAAAAATACATCTCTTGTCATACAGGACAGCGAGGAGCCTATGAGTCATATCCACTTCACTGCTGAGGGTGAGGTCACCTTCAAGTCCATCCTCTTTGTCCCTGCCTCAGCTCCCAGGGGTCTTTTTGATGAGTATGGGTCCAAGAAGAATGATTTCATCAAGGTACTACATGACATTTTAACTGAAAAATGGCAGCTTGCCACAGGAGGGAAAGAAAGTTAAGGACAGAACTGTTACTTGCCGTTTGTCTCACCAACTTGAAACCTTTCTTTCTTACAGTTGTTTGTACGTCGAGTCTTCATCACTGATGACTTCCATGACATGATGCCTAAATATCTGAACTTCGTCAAGGGTGTGGTAAGTGTTGTAGCCTGGCTGTGTACATGTAATCATGTAATCTTAAAAATGCAAAAACATGATTAGGCCTTTAGGTTGAGCTTAATGTCTGATCTCTCCTCTCAGGTGGACTCTGATGATCTCCCCCTGAATGTGTCCAGAGAAACACTGCAGCAACACAAATTGCTGAAGGTGAGACCTTCCAACCTATTCTAACACACGATTCACGTTGATAATCTTCTTACTGTCACTTGTTATAACCTTTCCATTTTCTCTTGACTCAGGTCATCCGCAAGAAGTTGGTGCGCAAGACCCTGGACATGATCAAGAAGATTGCCGAGGAGCAGTACAACGACAAGTTCTGGAAGGAGTTCGGAACCAACATCAAGCTGGGTGTGATTGAGGACCACTCCAACAGGACCCGACTGGCCAAGCTGCTGCGATTCCAGACCTCCCACAGCGAATCTGGACTGGCCAGCCTGGAGCAGTATGTGGAGAGAATGAAGGAGAAGCAGGACAAGATCTACTTTATGGCTGGAACCAGCAGAAAGGAGGTGAGTCAACTAATGGTGTAATTTGATGGGCAATAGAGGATAGTTTAGAAATTTCTTCCTTTGGTTAGAGAGCATATCGTCGCTGTCTGATTAAAAAAAACATGTATCTCCATATTTGTCGATTTTTATTCTTCTGCATCATTTCAACACACTAGCTGTCCTTCATGATGTGTGAAAATTTCATGATTGGACAAATAGAAATGCTTCAAAATCACTTGAAATTAAGCCTTTTTACATTGACTTACATTTAAAGGTGAGGGCGTTTTTGCCCTCTCCTGTAAAGTCTTTGGACAGCGACGATATTACTACACACTCATTAACTGTCTTTAGGCTGTAATAGGAATTTAGCTTCCATAAAGCAAATTTAGAGTTCCTTATACTCACATCTTCTGTGGACAAATCAATAACTTGTTTGTGCTGCCTGGTCTAGGCTGAGTCCTCTCCCTTCGTGGAGACGCTGCTGAAAAAGGGTTACGAGGTTATCTACCTGACTGAGCCTGTGGATGAGTACTGCATCCAGGCTTTGCCTGAGTTTGATGGCAAGCGCTTCCAGAATGTGGCCAAGGAGGGCGTGAAGTTTGAGGAAAGTGACAAAGCCAAAGAGAAGAGAGAAGCCCTGGAGAAGGAGTATGAACCCCTCACCACTTGGATGAAGGATAATGCCCTGAAAGACAAGGTACTTCCTCCTGACTATGTTGACTTATACATGAAGATGACTTAATGAGCAAACTGCTTTGAATGTGTAACTATTTTACAATGGGTTATAAGGTTAATGTGAACACAGGTTTAGGGTGAAATAGAATTTGATACACTGAGGTGGCACAATTAAAATATCCTCCTTCCCTCTGCTTGTGTAGATTGAGAAGGCAGTGCTGTCCCAGAGGCTAACAAAATCTCCCTGCGCACTGGTGGCCAGTCAGTATGGCTGGTCTGGAAACATGGAGAGGATCATGAAGGCTCAAGCCTATCAGACAGGAAAAGACATTTCCACAAAGTAAGTATTCTGAAGGGCTCTTTCATATGTTTACAAGTGACTGTCAGGAGGGCATTTCAAACGTAGTTGGTGAGAATTGCAAGCTGGCAGTTTCAGCAGAAAACATATAGGGGATTCAGACTTTAAATTGCTTGCATAATAAGTGTTTTTCTTGTTTGTTTTCTAGTTATTACGCAAGTCAAAAGAAAACTTTAGAAATCAACCCCAGACATCCCCTCATTAAAGAGATGCTGAAGAGAGTCAAGGTGAGTACAGCTGCTTCCTGAGATGTGCAGCTGAATGAATGACAGTTGGAGCTCAGGCTTTAAGGTTGTGTTCTGATTCTTGCATGTTGATTTACAGGATAATGCAGAAGACCAGACAGCCTCAGATCTGGCAGTGGTCTTGTTTGAGACCGCCACTCTGCGTTCTGGCTACCAGTTGGCTGACACCAAGGCCTATGGAGACAGGATAGAGCGCATGCTAAGACTAAGCATGAATATAGACATCGGTGAACAGGTGTGTAATACAGATGTGGACATAGAAGTAAAAGAGTTGTATTAGAATTTAGTATACCTGACCTTTTGTCCTCCTTTTAAAATGGTCGTCTTCCTTCCCACTTAGGTTGAGGAGGAGCCAGAGGAGGAACCAGAAGAGCCAGCAGAAGACGAGGCTGAGGCCGAGGATGAGGAAGAGGCTCAAGCAGATGAGGAGGCAGAAGACACGGTGAGTTTTGCTGGGCAGTGAACAGGTAGTTGTTTTGGAGTGTGATATAGAAACAGGCAGCACGGGGCTCCCGAGTGGCGCAACCGTCTAAGCGTTGGCCCTGTCATCAGGAGATCGCGAGTTCGATCCCTGGTGATGCTACAGCCGTCCGTAGCCGGGAGTCCAAGAGAGCACAATTGGCCTTGCTCTCTCTGGGTGGGTGGGATGGCTGCCCTTCTCCCCCTATCACTCACTAAGCACGATGCTATTCAGCGCAGGCGTCTGTTAGCTGACATAACAGATCTGGCGGTTGGCGCTTTCCTCCGAGCGTGTTCAACTGTCCAGTGATGTTGCGTGAGCGGCAGCTCGAAAAGAAGCGGTGGCTGGTTTCACAGGTCTCGGAGCAAGCCTGTGTTAGCCTCGCCCTCCTAGCATTGATAGCGTCGTGTGTGACTGGGGGAGTCCTAACTAGCGGGTGCAATTGGAGACGACTAAATTGGGGAGAAAAATCAGGTAAAAAAAAAAACAAAAAAAAAACAGGCAGGACCTTGATTTCAAGAATTAAGCACTTTAATAGCTGACAGTGACGTATGTTGCAGTCTCATGACTGGCCTTAGCTGAGGTCAGCATGCAGAATGATAATGTAATTTTGGACCACTGACCTTGTTTGTTTGTTTGTTTGTTTGTTTGTTTATTATTTTTCAGGAAGCTACAGAGAAGGATGAATTGTAAAGAATCTGCAAGCAGGGGAAGGGTTATAGGTTTGGACTGGGAGGCAGGGTGACGGCTGGATCCAGCATGGCCCATCCTTTCTCTCTGCTAGGGTGGGCTTTAGAGGGGGTGTGACTGGGATTAGGGCTGGGTGTTTTTTTTTATAAGGAGCTGCTTTTGTGTTTGAATTTTTTTTTTTTTAAACATTCCTCATGACTGTAAATTTGTTAATATTTAACTGACCCGGTTATGGAGTGCTGTTCCTGTCACGTGAACCATTAAATGTTTCCAGAAATGGACCATTGTGTCTTGTCTTTCAATTTAGTTCTGTCTTAGCTCCTCCATCTCAGAAAGAAATACAAAGATGGCGGAATCAGCACCAAACATATTTACCCTTTGAGGATGAGATGTTCCACAAACTCACTCGTTACCTTAATCACCTGTTATAAGGCTTAACATGTCTGTCCAAAACAAAAACACATTGACAGACTTTTTCTAATGGTCATGTTTTATTAAAATTCAAACCTATCAACAAACATTTCAGCCACTTGGTTTACCATCCTATTTACTTCTAATCATCTAATGACTACATAGGGTGGAGGACAAATTGTACCCCAGGCCTCTGGGTATTTTCGGTCTGAAGGACAAGAAATTGAGGCATCAGCTAACAGCTGAGTTATGCGATCTGCAATGACTTTAAAGCTCAGCTTAATTATCTAGGGCAACTGAAACATCAAAGATCAATTCCCTTAAAATTATTTTACAAGATTAGTGACAAGCAGCTAAGAAACATATGGTAATGACAGTTTATACTGCTGCAACAAAAGGTGATGTGGCTAAAATCTGAATGGCAGAAATGAAGCCAAAAATCTTTCGATTAGCTGTAAATGTGCTGTGCCCTTTGATCGACATGACTTTTAATAGCATAGAACTTACCAATCAAAAAGATGCCCAGTATCTCTACTGTCATTTCACCAAAAACTAAACTAGCTTACGAAAACAATAAATTACATTAGACCTGTTGTTGTAATGCCATTGTTTTCTGTTGTAAACATTCAATTTCTGCTTATAAGCCCCATGAATTTTGGAAGTGGAGAAAAACAGTGAGTTGTATCCCTGCTCTGAGAGGCAAATCTTCAGCAGAGCTACACTCTACAGATCAGCAGTGCTACCACTTCATGTCAGTGACAGATGTTTCCTCTTCATGACCAACAGGGTGTCCAATCCTGCTTGATAAGATGTAACACCCTGCAAAGTTCTGTTTGTTAACTCTGCAGTGTTAGATAAAGGCCTCTTTGTAGTGTTTCAGCATTGAAGTCAGATGCTCTAAATTAGGGCTGCATTAAGAGTTCCAAATAAAGTTGGAAGACTTGTATAATCACATCCTGACAACTGCCACTAAGAATACCTCAGCATGTTTTGGAAAAGAGATTCATAACTGTGTTCCACCAGAAAGACTGGCTAAACCCAATATGGGAAAATTGTCCTGAGGCATGGTACATAATCAAAACGAGAGTCACTGTTGGCCTTTTTCAGTTCGGCTTGTCCACCTGAGAACAACAGTGGACCACGCATCGGCCTTAATAATAAGAGGCTTCTGACCCCCTTTCAAATTTCAGGCCGCACCAGTGAGAACTTCCCAGAAGGGTCAGGGATAAACCATTTCTCCCACAGGTCGAGGTGAACACAGGGGTAATCCCAGGGCTTGAAATGGCCATTCCAGTGAAGGAGTTTCGCCTTCTGGAGGAAAGATTCAGCATAGCGGGTGTCAGGACTCCAGCCTGAAAGGGAGCACATCTTTATTAATATCTTTATACACCTTTATACACATACATTCAGGCATAACATTATGACCACCTCCTTGTTTCTACGCTCATTGTCCATTTTATCAGCTCCACTTACTATATAGGTGCACTTTGTAGTTCTACAGTTACAGACTGTAGTCCATCTGTTTCTCTGCATACTTTGTTAGCCCCCTTTTACCCTGTTCTTCAGTGGTCAGGACCCCCATGGACCCTCACAGAGCAGGTACTATTTGGGTGGTGAGTCATTCTCAGCACTGCAGTAACACTGACATGGTGGTGGTGTGTTAGTGTGTGTTGCGCTGGTCTGAGTGGATCAGACACTGCAGTGCTGCTGGAGTTTTTAAACACCTCAGTGTCACTACTGGACTGAGAATAGTCCACCAACCAAAAATATCCAGCCTACAGCGTCCTGTGGGCAGCGTCTTCTGACCACTGATGAAGGACTAGAGGATGACCAACACAAACTGTGCAGCAGCAGATGAGCTATCGTCTCTGACTTTACATGTACAAGGTGGACTGACAAGGTAGGAGTGTCTAATAGAGTGGACAGTGAGTGGACACAGTGTTTAAAAAATCCAGCAGCACTGCTGTGTCTGATCCACACATACCAGCACAACACACACTAACACACCACCACCACGTCAGTGTTACTGCAGTGCTGAGAATGATCCACCACCCAAATAGTACCTGCTCTGTGAGGGTCCTGACCACTGAAGAACAGGGTAAAAGGGGGCTAACAAAGTGTTCAGAGAAACAGATGGACTACAGTCTGTAACTGTAGGACTACAAAGTGCACCTATATAGTAAGTGGAGCTGATAAAATGGACAATGAGTGTAGAAACAAGGAGGTGGTCATAATGTTATGCCTGTTATGTGATGTACTTTTGTTCACTTTTACAGAAAACAGTATCCCACGCAGTGTCCAAAACCACATAGGCCAGACTTTAAAGCAAGTGTTAATGATTTGGGCATGCTGTTTGCACAATGCTAATTCATGGCTACCCCCTTCTTGTTTTCTACTTTAGCCTTCATACCTCCAGGGCAAAACTAATCAAGCAATTTCAGCTGCCAAATATGCCTTAGCTAACTGACTACAAATGGTGTAAGGGTGGACTATAATGAGAGAACTGAGAAGCATTAGTGACATTAAAAAGGTGGAATGTTTGACAGAACTGCATAGCATGAATCTTTCTTAATGCCCATAATGGGAAAAGTCAGAACGTAAGTCATTATATACACACATATCTACTTTACATGAAACTGAAATATGTTTTGTCCTGATATACAGCACAGTGCAAAAGTGCACCTAAGTACATTGGGCCTCATTCACCAACCGTTCTTAAGAAGAAAGTTCTTCTTAAAACCCACTTATGCAGTTTTCACGAAGACTCTGACATTCACCAGTGTTTTCCTATTTGGGATTTGTTCTTAGGTAAGAACAGAATCTACACACACTCAAGAGCACAAAGGTGAGAACAGTTCTGCGCTTTAAGAACACGTCATGAATCTGACATCCGACCTTTCTCAAGAACACATTTAAGAAAAGAACAACGTTTAGAACGTGTTCTCACAGTGCATCATTAGAATACAATAAATGCAGTAAAAAGTTATATAGTGATTTCTTATTTTGAAAAATGCTGAGAGCTAGTTTGAAGAACAAAGTTTGGTTCTAGATCTCTCCTGGACTCCCCCAGCATAGCATGGATTAGTTCAATTCCACCAGCAGCACAACTGAAATAAATTAATAATGTACTGATTAGTCAAACCAGGTGTTGGGTAATAACCATAAGTAATACGGTTAAATTAACACAGCTGGATTTTAGCTCAGTAATCAGATTTCTCAGTGCATGTAAACTCTTACTCTGATTTCTTTCGGTTTTCTCAGTCTGCGCGAAACAAACTGTGGTACCGAAAATCAAAAGCAAGCAGCGTTGCCGCGAGACGCAGCAAAACCCTGTTTATGCTTGACAAAATGAAGGACTTAAATATTCTTCATCTTCTAGATGATGTATGTTAATAGTTTCAGGTAAAGTGGTGCGATGTTTTAAAAATAAAAGCTGCAGCATAAAGTTCGAGTTTTACATTACGTTTATGTCACGTCTCCTTCTGTGAGTGTATTGGCTGGTTGCAAAGCAGAAATCCAATTACTGTCTGACTCATACAGACCCTAAGTTTCCCATTATCTGATTACTCAAGTGCATGTAAACATGTTGATCGGATTCCTAACAAAATCTGATTATTAACATACAATATCACTACTTACTTTATTAAATTATTTGTATTTGCTCTAATATTAGTGTTTATTTGAGCAAATAAAGACTTACAGTCCAGAATAACAGCTTTTTAAATCAAATTTTCGAAAACCTTTGTACAGCGCTGTATACTTTCCCACAAATGCAGGTGGTAAAGGCCCAGCAGGGCCATAGGGGCGTCATTACCCAGGTGTCTGACGTGCCACTTTGGGTCGATTGTTGTGTATTTGTCATGAAACACAATCAGCATAGGAGGAGTGGCCACACCGCCCGCCATCGCACTGCTGTACAGGTTTTCCCTAAAAACATGAAAACTAGCATGAGATAAATAATATACATAACATTCACTGTCTCATACACTCTTGAAAAGAGATGGCTCTTCTGGGGTTCTTTAGTCAAGAAAATGGTTCTATATAGAACCATGAACACCCAAAGAACCCTTTGCATTATTTAAGGGTTCTTTTAATCGTGAGAGCGTTCTTCAGATTGATGGAGAATGTACTGAACATGGAGAGAACAACCCTTTTTGGTGCTATATAGAACCCTTTTTAAAAAAGTTCTATAGAAGCATTCTAGAGCCATCTACATTACATTGTCTATCGATCTGAAGAACGCTTTCATGATGCAAAGAACCCGTAAATCATGCAAAGGGTCCTTTGAGTGTTCATGGTTCTATATGAAACCTTTTTCTTTACTAAAGAACCTTTGAAGAACCTTTTTAAGTGCGTAGCATGAGAATGAAATATAATAGTAACACTTAAACAGATCTATTTAAACAGAATGATCAGCCTTCACAACACTCCTGAAAACTAAACTAACTTGAAGTTCTTGCTCATCCATTTCTCAAGCTGCTTGGTGATCTTCTGCTTCTTCCACTCCTCAACGTCAGCCACAAACACGCCCGGGTTAAAGGAACAGTCGCTGGGGTTGATGCCCAGCTCCCTGACCTCCTGCTTCCGGTAGTCCAGGAAACCCATGTAAGTTGTCTGAGGAAAAACACACAGAGATTTTTACACTTTCCTTCTTCCCCCAAATGTATGATTAGGCAAGACGTTTAAAGCTTAAAACAGACTTGTTTACTGTACAATACTAATTGTTGGGGGATAAGCAGAGAACTTGCAGAGAGGAGAATTACCACTCTGTATTGTCTTCTGGGAATCTCAAACGCTAGAGGGCGCTCCCGAGCATGTCCATAATGAATGGGTTAAGATGAAGCATTTGAGCAAAATCATAGGTTATAAA